TTCACAGGCATAAATATCACAGGTGCCTTTTATACAAAAATAAGCTATGAGAAAGCTCCTACAATTGTCTTTTTACCATGTATGATCCACAAACAACAACTAATTTGCTTAATTTCCTGTGGTCCACACTTCTTGCCCAGGTGAGCAGCAGGCAATGATATACAACCTCCATCTCCGAATAAGGAACAGAGCCCCATGACAGCAACAAGCATAACTTACAGGTGAACTGCTTGATGCATACTGGCTCAGAAATTTTCCCCCGAAACTTCATTTGCAAAGTTAATCAGAAATTGACGGGTCCCCACGGAGTTATTTGCTTGTCACCAACAAGTCAGCATCACCGCCTTGCTGAGCTTCAATGCCGCAAGGGCATTACACTTAGTATGGGGCTAGGAAGGTTGGTTAGCTCGAACCGTGGATTCGGTCCAGTAATGTAAATAGAAACGAAGATATCTGAGATCGCGAGCGACCCGCAGAACCGAAAACACCCGTATTGCGTTTGTCTGCGCCAGTCTATTTCATTTTTGCGCCAGTTTGGGAAATAGTGGGCAGCGCTACCACATTCTTACGTAGTGCTCCCATTTTTAAAATGTATTCATTGCCCGTCATCATTGAGAGAAAACACACCAGATTAAAAATCACCTTTGCCATTGTCGCGAAGCCATTCATATAGGAACGGGGAGGGGGGGGGGCTATAGTGTTGTTGCAAAACGTGGACCGACAGAGCTGCGACGGCAATAGTTCTACGCGACAACGCTTCAATTGTACTTCAACTGCGAAAACTTCCGCAGCCTTTACCTACAAACGGCACTACTACTGCAGACTTAAAAACAGGGTCAAACTTTGCGCTTTCAGGGTGCGGGGGGGGGGCAAATTCATGGGCCTTATCCATTATACTTTCCAGACTCATCTCTTCGCGGATATCTTTCACTTGATTCGGTGTCATGGTTTGAACCTAATGTCAGAAAAACACTCAGCTCCGGGTTTTTTGGGTGCCACCAGTCCAACGTTCTTATGCTGTGTGAACAACCTACGATATGCCACGAGATACTGGTGAAACGACGTTGTAATGGTGAATAACAGTTATATTAAGCACTGCCAATATAATCATTATTTAGTACTGCTCGCCCACTACGGTGCATTGATGTCCATCAACTGATATTGTGGGAAATAAGAGCTGTGCCACAGTCCGACCCAGCGACCGACAACTTTCACCAAGCCACCGGACAAGGCAGGCCGTCGGACCGGCCCGTCCCGAAAACCTGCGCTCAAGGTCTACGCTCGGACGCCATCGGAAGTGTCGCCGAACCGGCCCGTCCCGGGGGCCGGCGCTCAGGGCTAACGACTGTCCACCCGGAGGGCGGAGGCCTGCCGGGGGGAGGGGGGACCGCGTTCGATGTTACGAGACCCACGCAACTTGCAGCTCAGCACGACCACCGCGTCGCCTCCGTCGGACGTCACAGCGTCCCTGGTAGCAACACGGCCACCGCGTGGCCACTGCCGGACGTCACGGCGTCCCCTGCGGCTTGACACGGCCGCCGCGTCGTGTCATGCGCTGCAGCGTCCGAAGCCACGCGAAGGCGGGCACAGGAGCAGGGCGTCACCACTGAACGGTGGCCCAGCACAGCAACTGCGTCACTCACGCCTGGCGAACAACTGCTCTTCAGCGTCGGGTGGGCTGACACTACCCAACCGTTACCGACCACTCTCCGGCGGTATAAAATGTTTGGTTATAGAATTCGAGTCACTCGCTCTGGCCAGGATTGGCGAGGGCCAGCGCTACATGTGCTGCTGAGACTCCGTGCCTCTTCTAGCATGTAAGGACTTAGGCCTTGCATCCCGGGTTAGACGGGATGAAATGTGACTGTCGATGGACAGTCGGTCTTTGTAGTTTTCCAGTGCTAGTACCAGTGTGTAGGTGTTGATTATATCCCTGAGTGTTGTGAGTGCTACATCTTGTTCTTTATGGCCTGCACAGCACGCTACCATTTCTATCAGCAGTCTTCATCAAATGAAAATACATGATAAGTCGTGTACCAGTATTTCAAGGAGAAAACCGGCTGGGTGTCGAACCACCCTGAGCGTATGACTAAGGGAGTAAGGAAAAGGTTTAAAGGATAACGGAACGATACAGGAAAAAAATTCAAACGCCATTGTGTTCGTGTTCGAATTGAGCGTTGAGTTCAGCTCTCCAACAGCTGTCTTCCCAAGTCAATTCATTGAGCTACTCACGCTTCTGTAATCCTTTCTTCTCTATGTCACTTAGCTTGGACTCTACAGGTTAATAAAAGGTTAAAACTTGAGTAACCTCGCCTTCGTTTATCTGAGAAATCCAAAAAATGAGCATCACACCGATCCCCGCGATATTCACCTTCGTCACAACCACACAAGCTCAATTTCTTGATAAAAAATCATGCTTACATAAAAATGGGATCCAGTGACATTTCTTCGCTCATAAAGGAAGTGCAACAAAAGGGATGTCAGTTTTTGCTCGTGATATCCTCTTTCGTCATATCTGCATTAAAATAACTTCAAAGGTCAAGGTCAAACAAAGCGCACTACACTACCATTTCTTTGTTAACGAAGAAATGCGACAAAAATGTGTCGAACTGATACGACACCCCAGAATTTATTAGTTTACCTAAGATCAACAAAAGTGTTTAACTGGATATGCTCGTTGGTGCCTGGTTTCGCGTCACACGTGCAAAAAAATCAACTTTCAAGGTGAGAGGTCAAGGTGGCACAAACCGCCGTACCGACCTACCATTTATTTGTTTAGTAAGGAGATACAACAATCGTGCGAATATTCATACTCATGGTGTCAGCGTTTGTTGCACTTGCACTTTTTCTAGATGTGACGTAAAAAGACAATCACGAGCACAACTATGATAGACATGTTGTCCTGTGGTCTTTTAACGAACAAAAATGATACCAACGAAGTAACCCAGAACGCGTTTGTGTGAGCTCAACATTTCACATTGACTTTTGAGCTGGTTTTACCAAGGGGAAACGAAGACGGACATCATATTGATCATTTTATGGCCTATGTTGTTGCATATCTTTATAGATAAATGAATATCAGGAATGCGCGTTTTGTGTGACCTTGACCTTCATATTTTCCCAGTAGACAAAAGCAGGGCTAGCTGGAGCATCAATATGATACCGTTTAAATGAATTTTAAGTTAGCGAATACTGTGCCAGAATGCCGTATTTTGAGTGACTTAGTAATACACCCCTGACCTTAGGCTTGTTTTCCACATGTGACGAAGGCAGACATCACTTATATCAATAGACATTATTTTCTTGTATTTCTTGGTAACAAATGCATGCTGGAGTATCGTTTTTGTTACTTGACATTTGACCTTGAAAGCTGTTTTTGAAGTGTGACAAAAGTGAACATCATGAGCATCACTATGCTTATCCAACTTGCTTAGAATGTCCTTTGTAAACGAATACATGCCAGGATACCCCGCGTTTTGTGACCCCGTACCTTTGGACCTTGGGTTTGTTTGCACATGTTCTTGAAGTGGGACATCACGAGCACCAATGTGAAACCCATTTGTCGCATCTGTTTTGCAAATGAACCAACCCCAAGGTGCCACGCTCTTGTGTTACCTTGGCATTAAAGTTACTTTTCTCTAGGTGTCACGAAAGTCAACCTAACAATTTCGCTATGGTTACCTCGCTTTGTTGTATTCATTTCTTTTAAAAAATGTCAATGTACTGCCGTTTTAAGATGGCCTTCATCTTCGACCCCCCCCCACCCCACCCCAGAGTTTTTCCAAGTGTTACGAAAGCGGACATCGTGAGGATCAAAAGGCGGAAGCCCTCAGCTTCCGCCCTTTCCATAGCTCATACCGGCGTCAAACGCATTGTCCGGGCGGATACAAAAGTGTATTAATATACAATGTTTTACATTCGATGGGCGGGTCACTGTGTATCATTAGTCGACAATTGCATCACTTAGCCGTATAAGTGAAGTAACATCCACCGTACTCGTGTGTCCGGTCGAGGATCGTGCAACCCACATAAAACCGTCTAGCCATTTTGAAGCATTTCATCAGACACTATCGGGAGGTTCGCCTCGAGATATTCGGCACCTAGAAGCGGTAATGCACACAATGTACAGCATTTGATTGTAAATTACATCACAGACAATCGTGAAAGTCGCACTTGGGGTCGGGCGTGGAAGCAACTAAACCATTCACACACATAACCCTAGTGGGGAGCGGCGGGGAGCACTCCGAGCGTCCCGTATTCTAAAACCGGCCAGTCGCTACACACAGCTAAAATAAGTAGAAACGACGAAGACGCTTACTACGGAGCACCTACCACGGCGACTAAAAAACGCGCGAGCCCGCGCGGAGTCAAGTCAGGTCAGGTCGGGCTGTGTCGGGTCAGAGGGGCACCGCGGCACGTCCGAGCGACCTATGTACAGATGAGAGGGGGCGCGGCGGCGGCTAAGGCCGGACCGGGCTGACGACTGCCGGACGCCGGGCCGGGCAGCCAGCCGACCGCGGCCCCGACTAGAGGCAGGCTGACTGATATGAGGCGGCCGAGGGCGCGGCCGGCGGAGGGGAGCTGCTACGCGAGTGAAAGACAGACACATCGGCTTCACTGCGCCCGGCGGGCCAGCGCGCGCACACAACACAGATCCACGCGCGCGCGGCGAGGCGCACCATTCGCCCGCGCGCGCGGCGCTGGTCCCAGTTCAACGGCATCATTCACGAGATCCTGGGCCGGCGATCGCGGCCGTGGCGGCGGGGACGACGGCAGCGGCAGAGGCGGGGGCGGCGGCGGCCGCCATTGAGATCGGAGCGCCGAGTCGGCCGGCGCGCGGCGTGGCGCGGCGCGGCGCGGCGAGCCGGTGCGCGCCCGCTCAGCGCACCGGCGCTTATCACCTAACGGCAGTGGAGGCGGCGCTGCCTCGGCCCGTGCTGTCCGGTCCGGGGGAGGGGGCAGGCGGCGAGACAATGCCCGGTCGAGGTCAGAGAGCGGGGCTAGGTCACCAGCGCCGTCAACGCGTCCCACTGGTGAGGCGACGGCGGCAGTTCGCTCGGGTGCGCCACCGTCGAGCTGCAAAGGAGCGACCGGTCAGAACGCGGGTAAAATATTGAAACGAAAATCACAAGGCGCTGCCCTCGGTGCCAGTCCCATGTGCGCTACTTCCAAATAATACATTATCACGATATCCGCTAAGGTGCGTTTGTGCCTTGTGATGACCCAAACAAGCCTGCCACTGTGCTGTTCCACTGTCCAGCAGCCAAGGCAAGACAGAAACAGGGCTGCTGCTGCGTGCGGCCGACTCGAAGTTCAGCCAACATGCTAAACAAACAGCCAAGACAGCGCGCATCTCAACAAACGTCCGCGTTCTCCGACGAGAACGCATTCTCTGTACGGGTTACCTTACCTTACCATTGCCTCATCTTTTTCAAACTGTCTATCTCAAACATAACTTTGGCCGGACGCGGATCCAACGAAAATGTGACACCCGGACGCCTCTCGCACCGCACAACGCGGCACCAGAAAGGCCAACACCTTGCGCAACATTGGAGAGAGGAATGAGCGCAGCGGCCCAACCACAGCACCTGCCAGCGGCCTCGTAACAGAGCATCGCACACTCACCTGGCGAAGCTCTTGTAGGCGGCCGACTGGGGGTTGATGCAGAGCGGAACCTTCTCAGGGCTCATGTGGTTCACGATGAACTTACGCATCCGGTCTGTCGGGAGGGAGGCAGTCAGCCGAGAGCAGAGGACAGACTGAGCGGCGAGACACGGAGATGGGCGCGGCCGCCGACACAGGCGGTCAGTGGTCACACTAGACGAGCAGACATAAAAACCCGGCACCCGCTTGCCGGTAGCGACAGGGCAGCGACGAAAAAAAGACAGAAAGGAGATGCTAGAGCATCGCCATTTTTTCGAATTAAGCCGCACCACTTCATGCGACATTCGTTTGTCAAGCATGTTTGTGCCTTTCAAGCCGCTGCCCTTCCAGAATACCAACAGTGTTTCATCACCAAGAGCGCACAATAGCGCGAACTATCCGAACTAAGGTAGCGCTTATTTGAAATGCAGACGAAATTATCTGCAACGCTGTCAAGAATCAGTTGCGATGCAACATAGTCAAGCGGTGCCTACACATTGCATCCCGCTGCTTCCCAGTTCCACCCACACGCCAACGAACACCGACCAGTGTTCTGCCGCTCGCAGCGCCGCCCGGCGTCGGGCGAGCAGCGCCGCGCGCGCCCCCTTGCCCACCTTTGACCTGGACGACCGAGGTGAGCTCGCGCTCCCAGGTGTCGTCGAACGGCTGATGGGCGGCCGGCTCGTAGTCGGTGGTGTACTGCCGCTGCGGCCCGGACGACCAGCAGCAGCGGCACATGCACGCGTGGTAGCGCAGCCGGCCCTCGTCCAGGTACGGGTGACTCAGGGCGTCTGTCACACGCAGCAGCCGCTTCCCCTGGGAACGACGCGCCGGTCAGCCCGGCACGGCACGGCACGGCACGGCACAGAGTGCAACACAACGCAGCGCAGCGTGGAAAAGCCGTCTCCCTCACGGACTGAGTGCCGACCAGCACAGTATAGCACAACACAGCGCAGTACAGTGCACCAGGAACGCTTAACCCGGAGACAGGGCGCCAGTCTGCATGGCATATCATAGCACGATATCGCATGACATAACATGGCAATGCCAAACACAACACAGCACAGCACAGCGTGGCACGACACTGCGCAGCACGGCAACCGAGAAGCAGTTGAGTCCGCGGCGGGCTGAAGAGTGACAGGAGGAACGGCAGGACGGACGGCCCGGACGGCGGGACGGACGGCCCGGACGGACGGTCCGGCGCCGGCGGGCGGCAGCCACGACCGCCGCTCGACAAACCGTCGCACGGCGGTCCGGCGCACCGGCCGCCGTGTACTGCCAGCACGCCGATCCGCACGGGTCATAAATAACGCACACCGGAACAGCATAAGCGCCTGTCGGGCACGTGTGCACGGAGTAAGCGTAACGGAGCCCACACGGATGCCGCGCAAGGCGTGCTTTGGCTTGACGTCAGTGCGGTGCGGCGTAGTTTTGAAGTGTGACGCGGGCGGTCGGAGAGCTGTCCTGTCCCAACTGCTCTCTGTGCGGGCCCGGTCACGGGTGGTCCCCGAGGCCTTACGGAATCAGATAAGCCCGCCGGTTAAGGCACGTGAAGCGGGTTACGTGAGGCCCTGGCGGCTACATCGGCAGAAGTCGCCTCTCACCGAACGGGCGCACGAGCGGGCCGTTGTGGAGCGGTTGCGCTGGGCCGGCTCCCAGCAACAGAGGAGGCCTTGTGACCTGTCCCGATTGCCTCACGGCCGCGGAGGTGGTCGGGCGGGCCGGCCGCTCCCTGGCGCCCCACCGGCCGACCCCTGGCCAGTCCAGTGCCACGCCGCGGCCGGCCCGGTCCGTCCTTCAGCGGCGCGGTCGTTGCCCACATTGGAAAGTCACGGTCCTTGAGTTGGACGTCCGCTTCCGGAACCGACAAGAACACGATGTTATCTATCGGGTAATCCGTCCGCCAACATCAGCCGGCGGCCGGGCCCGCGCCCGCCGAAGCCTCAGTGTTTTTGTTGCCGCCATCCGCTGCGATCCGAGGTTTCACTCGTCTGGCAGTGTGCGGACGTCACCGGCGTCCCACCTCCGGCCGACCGCGACACGTGCGCGCACGAGGCGTCATTATAGGAGACGGCTCGGTGGCCAGATAGTCCGCACGAAGCGAGCCGGCTAGCCGACCGTAAAGCATTCGCACACAACACACGGCGCGCGTCGGAAGGCACGCCACCTGCCCACCCGTACGGCCGGGACAGGCGCGGCGTCGGCAGCCGCCGGCACAGAGCGCCGCTGGGGGAGGGGTGTCGGGAGGCGACGCCGGCGCGCCCGGACGGCTATCTGACCCGACCCCGGCGGCGGCGCACGGCCGCGCCCCGTCTGGCGTGCGCCGCCGTGCGCGAGAGCTGATCGTTCTCGGTCGGGGCACGGATGGCAAGCTACGCACCGGTGGCCGTCGCCGGCCTCACGCGGGTGGGGAAACACTGGGCAGATGTCGCTAGGACGGTGAGTCACACCACAGAGCCCCGGTCCACCCACTGGACGGGGATGCGTTGTGTCTCGGCCCAGCTGTACAGACTGGGACGAGGCGTAAGCCGTGATATCAAGACAAACGACACACCTGAAGATGAACACACGCACGTGTGGACCTCGCCCACACACATGTGCCCCCCCCCCCCTCGTTATCATATCGACTGGAGTTCAGTTGTCCCCAGAGGGTAATCACTAGTTGAGGTAGCCGGCTTAGCTCCCTCCCGCTCCCCTCACCGGACGCATCGGCTCCCCTGTACCGCTGGCCCCTATGGTCAGCGTGCCATCCCCCACCCCCATCGCATTTGGAGGGGCTGTCGGCACTACCGCGGTATGGCAGCCGCCTGGCCGACTCGGCCTCATCCCCGAGCCGACCGTGCCATCCCCCATCGCATTTGGAGGGGCTGTCGGCACTACCGCGGTATGGCAGCCGCCTGGCCGACTCGGCCTCATCCCCGAGCCGACCGTACGGCGCGCCGCGCAGCGGATGTTCTCGCGGCGGCCACGACAGGCTGACCGCAGGGCAGGCTGCAGTGGGGCCACGCGAACAGGCACGACGACACGCGAACGGGAGCTGGCCACGGCAGAGGATCGTACGCCCCCCGGCCGGAGCTGAGGCGGCACAGCCGGGCGCGCAGGCGAGCGAGACCAACGCGCGGTCACACGGCGCTGGGTAAATAAACATCACCGGTCGCCACTGACCGGGTTGAAGGCGAGCATCTGCGCCAGCAGGTGGACGGCGTCCGGACTTGTCTGGCTGGAGAGGCTGTAGAGCACGTGCAGCGAGGCCGGCTTGTAGGGCCGACGCAGCATGTGCTGGCGCGCGCCCTGGCACACCGTCAGCATGTCGTCGGCGCCCGGCGAGCCCAGCAGGTCTGTGATGAGCTCCAGCTGCTGGATGGGCGTTGACGCCTGCCGATGCCGGGTCACGTTAGGTCAGATCACATTCGTTGCTGATAGAGTCGCTGTCAGGCCCAGTGTCTTCTAGCGCGGACCGATACTAGACGCACGACTAAGTAACGCACCGAAACACGAGTCAACTGAACACAGCCCTGAAACTGTGGGCAAGACCAGCCCCAACAGGGCCCGCATGGGCGTGAGTGTGACGGGGTGGGCGTGGCTTGGCAACCTTCAATGAACACGTGACGCAGGACCTCAGGGACCGCCTCCCACCGTCCGTGTCCGCGGTCCGACAGCAGCGCTGTGCGACGCCCACCTGGAACAGTATCCGGCGGCCGAGCAGCTCGGCGAAGATGCAGCCCTACCGACCACATGTCAACGGCCGCGTCGTAGTGGGTGGCGCCCATCAGGATCTCGGGCGCCCGGTAGTACTGGCGTCACCACCATCCTGGGTCATGTGGCGGCGCCGGTTCGGCTCCTCCACCCGCGCCAGCCCAAAGTCGCAGATCTGCGGCGGACGGGACGGGTCAGGTGCGTCACAGGGGGGGGGGGGGGGGGGGGCGTGACAGGTGGGCAGACTGCTGCGGCGGACATGGGCGCCGCCAGAAACATCACAGGGATGAACACTGGTCATCAACAGCCGCATCGCGAGAGGCGGCCAGGTGCGCGGCTGGATCGTCAACACACCAGCAGCGAGAGCCAGTCACCTGAACAGCGCAGACGAGTCTTTGTTCAGGAGCAGGCCGAGTACGTTTATAGAAAACCGTTCGAAGCCTAGCGTCGCACGTCAGCGCTCTATCACAACTAGCTGAATGGCTTCGTGGTTGATGTAAGGGTATTACGCTCCAGCGCGATATTTGATATGATACATCCCGCCCACCGCAGCGGCATGCACCTAGCCTTTGTTTCTGACAGCACGAGCTCCACGCGGCTTTCTCCGAGCGCCGGCAAATCCCAGCACTGTCAGTAACGGGGAAACGGCGCCCGGCCCGCGACAGCCAGCCGGCCGGCCGTTGACATCAGCGAGGAAACTGCAGGCCGCCCGCTCCGTGGATGACGAGATACCGGCGGCCGCGTTTGGAAAGCGGGCACCGGCGCGCTATCGGGCCCGCTATCGCCGCCGCGGCCGGCCATCCGACCGGAGGCCGCTGCAGAGGCCACGGCGCTCGGCGCGCTCCGAGCGCGGCGCCGACAGAGCGCCGCTCGTCCGCCGTTTTAATAAATCAGCGCCGCTGCAGCAACACGGCCGCCGGCCGTCGCGCGGCCACGCGCGCAATGCAGCCCTTTGTCCACGTGGCGACGGTGCACGCCTCTTTGTGCGGACCGGCGCGACGGAGGCGGTCAGGAGCGGCGCCCGCTGCTTCGTCGGTCGCCGGCGGTCGGCCGGGCTTTGTTCGGTCCGCTCCATTCCCGGTCCGATGCCATCTAAATCTCGGCCATCCTCGCTCCTGCGCCCCGTTGAGTGGTTCGCATGAGCCGATCCAATCAGTCCGACTTGCCGACAAAGACCGGCTGGCGGCAGCTGGACCGACAGCCACGTGCGCTACCTGTCGATCCCATTTCCGAGCATGTCTCGAATTTCCCGGAAGGGCGCCGCGTGAGCACGGTCCATTTCCTGGTGAACGGACAGCCATGGAGCAGGCACGGCTCGTCAGCTGCTGCTGCTGGATCGCCCGGCGGCGTTCACCGAGCCGCCTGAGTCAAAGCTGCCGCTGGCGGAAGGCCCGGCGCCTGACTCAGACCTCGGGCTGTCCCGACCATGACCTAACACCAGACCGTTACACGTGCGCCGGACGCTACACGTGAGTCACGTGACCCGCGTGACGTCACCCCGGCGCGTCATCGAGCCCTACTGCGGACGAACGGGTGACGGAAGATCGGCGAGCGACTTTGCAGTGCGCGTCATAATCGTCAGTGGGGGCAGCTGAGCTCGGCGCCCGCCGACGGAACCGCCGCGCTCGGCGCCCGCTCGTGTATCTCAGTGCGTCCCGTCCCGCTCCCACCCAGTCCGAAGCCAGTTCCCACTGGCGGGCGCCGGAGCCGGCCCCCCGCCGGGGCCGGCCCTGAAACCTGCGGGCGACGCGGCTGGAAACGGCCGGCCGCGAGGACACGGCCGCCTGAGAACCCCTCAAGGGTGACGCCGCCGACCAGCGCCCGGCGCACAATGCGTCGACGGCCGGCCGGCCAGTGAAAGTGCCGCCGACCGACGCGAGCGCACCAAGGCTCGCCGCCGCCTGCCCCAGTTACCGGCCGGCGGAGGGCAAACAGATCGCGGCCTGCGCCGGTCGCGCCGGCCGGCGCAGGCCGACCCGCCGCACCACAAAGGCGGACCGTTTTTGCGCGCGCTTCTTGCACGACCGCGTGGGGCGGGAGAGTGGGTCGCTGCCGGTGTCGGGCGGCCGGGGGCGGCCGGGGCTGCCTGCCGCCGCGCCGCCGCTGAGGCGGCCGGGACGAGTCGGGAGCTCACCTTCAGTACACAGTTAGAGTTGACCAGCAGGTTACCCGGCTTGATATCTCTATGAAGTATTTTGGCGGAGTGCAGGTACTTGAGGCCTGCAAGGCGAGACCGGGGTCAGCGCAGGCGCACGGGGCACCGACGGCGACGTGCGAACACGCCCGTACACATTCGAACGAACACCCGCTGGACAGGCGGCCGTAACAACAAACGCACACCACGCACTCCCGAGAGCCGACAAGGGAGCCGCACCATTATCGAAACGTGCCACGAGTACACCCGCTGTGAACAATCGCCCTCATCACATGTTCGCTTTCGGAAAAAATATGTCAGTACGTCACACGAGAGCACACCCACACCCACACGCACACGCACACACACACACAAGCCCGCAAGAGCCGGCGCACGGCTCCCAGCGTCCCCTGAGCGTGACCAGTGACAGCGCGCATTACGGTGGTGCCCATTCGTTACGATGTCCCAATACACCCGCCCGCATGGCCGCAAACGCAAACAAAGGCGCACGGACAATGCCCGTGCTACCGAGGCGGGGCCGGGCGGGGCGAGGGTGCGTGAGCCGGCCAGGGCGGGCACTCAGCTGGGCGGGGGCCGGCGACGGGCGGCTGGCCGCTGCTATTTCCAACTATTGATCGCCGCCCGCCCTCTCGCCGTGCGGCTGGCGGCCGGGCGGCCAGGCCGCGCAAGGCCACACTACGGCGGTGCGGGGCCGGCGCGGCTCGCCCGAGCGTGTCCGGCGCCCTCACGACCCTCCCTTTCACAAGTCCCACGCCGGCGCGGCCGTGCTCGCCGCCGCCCAGCCGCCGCGGCCCGCCGCCCGCCGGCGTCAGCGGACGCGCGCCTCCGCTGACGCCAACCCGCACGCTGCCCTGGGGAGCTGGGGGATGGGTCGGACGCGGTGGGCGGGACTGGCGTGGGCGGTTGGGGCCTGGTGGCTGGTATGGTTTGGTCCTATTGACTGGTGTGGTTGGGTCCTGGTGACTGGTGTGGTTGGTCCTGGTGACTGGTTGCGGTTGGTCAGGACGGGGAGTTCAGTCCTAACGGGAAAACTGCCGTAATCTGGTGACTAATCAGCGGGTTCCATGAGCGCAAGCGTGCGTCATGTTGGCGTTGGCACTGTCACCCTGGCGCGTGTGTCACGTAAAGCACTGTCATCCCAGTCAGCCCAAAAGACGGAAATACTCCTCAGCTATGTCTTGCGGAAATGGCGATAATGCAAGGAAGCATTCAGTGCATAGAGAGGCAGTCTACTTCTTCCCTTCGGAGAAGCATTCTATACACCGCAACTGATGCAAGTGGGTGCAGCATGAGGACAAGGGCTATTGAAGTTACAACACTTGCCTTCAGAGCTTCCTTACACTTTCCCTCTCACTCCTGCTGGTGCATATCAAATGTGTCCGCATCTCATTGCGGGCAGCTGATCGCAACGGCAACCAGCTTAACCGATCGCCCAAAGCAGGAGATGGGCACATCCTCCTTGACCACCAGATAGAGGGAGAGCGCTAGAGAGAGAGCGAGAGAGAGAGAGAGAGAGAGAGAGAGAGAGAGAGAGAGAGGAGAGAGAGAGAGCGAGAGCGAGAGAGAGAGAGAGAGAGAGGAGAGAGAGAGAGGAGAGAGCGGAGAGGAGAGAGAGAGAGAGAGAGCGAGAGCGAGAGAGAGAGAGAGGAGAGAGGAGAGAGAGAGAGAGAGAGGAGAGAGAGAGAGAGGAGAGAGAGAGAGAGAGGAGAAGAAGAGAGAGAGATAGAGGAGAGAGAGAGCGAAGAGAGAGAGAAGAGAGAGAGAGAGAGGAGAGATAGAGAGAGAGAGAGAGAGAAGAGGAGAGAGAAGAGAGAGAGATAGAGAGAGAGAGAGAGAGAGAGAGAGAGAGAGAGAGAGGAGAGAGAGAGAGAGAGAGAGAGAGAGAGAGAGAAGAGAGAGGAGAGGAGAGAGAGAGAGAGAGAGAGAGAGAGAGAGAGAGAGAGAGAGAGAGAGATAAGAGAGAGAGAGAGAGAGAGAGAGAGAGAGAGAGAGAGAGAGAGATAGAGGAGAGAGAGAGAGAGAGAGGATGAGAGAGAGAGAAGAGAGAGAGAGAGAGAGAGAGAGAAGAGAGAGATAGACACCATCTGACTCGGTCAGCAGTCGTTGCGCCAGCAGCTCCGCCGCACGCGGCCGACGCCGCCAGTTTGAAAGGACCACCGGCGGCGGCGGCGGCGGCGGCCATACCACTTCACCACTGGCATCTCCGCCGCGTCCGGGGCGCCGCCGGCCCGGCAAGGTCAGCGGCGCGTAGATCCGCCTGACCTCCGGCGGTTAGCGACAACAGCCCCACTGTCAGCGGCCGTCGCTGATCCCCAGACGACTGGAGGAGGCTGCTCTGCTCTGGCCGACACGTTGCCCCGACGGACACCTTTCCCGCCGCAGCCGGCCGGCGGTCTTACAAGCGGCCGGCGGACGTAGATGCGGCGCCATTCTGCGGTCGCCGAGCCAGGCCGCGACACCAGCACCACTAGCCCGGACCGGCGCGGGGACAGTCGGCACCACCCGGCGCGGCCGACCGACCGACCCGGCCGAACGCCCAGCGCCGCGCCGCCAGGTCTTCCTGTCATCACATGTGACGCCGCAGCTGGGCTCGAGTGCCGTCCGAGGCCGGCGCTCAAGGAACGTCCGGCCGGCGGCGGGCGCCGTCCCACGCGCGAGCCTGGCGCCCCGCCGCCGGCCGTGAGAAGCCGCGCTGACGAAAGTCAACCGAGGCGGCGCCACTCGGCGCACGCTGACCAACGCGGCGGCGCGTTCTGCCCACACGTTACAACAGCCGGCGGCGAAGGGGGCGGCCCGCGCACCAGCGCTCAGCCGGTTAGGGTCTCGGTCCGCGGTCCGCGGAGGGGAACGGGCGCTCCCTTGACAGGAGGCGCCACCAAGGTCACAAGTCCCGCACAGCGAGAAGACATACACAAGACCGGCCCTGTGGCAGACACTGCAGAGGCCATGATAGCCGACACAGTGAGGAACGCTGCGCGCCGCGACGCCAGCACCTCTACAACAAAGGAGCCCTCGTGCAGTCTACGGACGCCACCAGCGGCCGAGCGTCGGGCCGGCCGGACGCTGCCGGCGTCGGCGGCCGGCCGGTTTCTCTGCTGTCGACGCCAGGACGCGCCGCATTGTTTCCCGCACGAAAGCGGAGTTCGGTGGCGACAATGGCGGAGACGGTCTTGTGCTGCCGCGCGTACATCTGTCACAACAGCCGCCATGTGAATTCGCGGCTCACGGTCGTCGCTGCCCGGTTTCTCTGCTGCCACGCACTTTCCACGGCCGGCGGAAAGCAGGCCGAACGGGCGCCGGGCCGGGCGCGCGGGGCGCCGGGCGCGCGGCCGCCGACGGGCAGCGTCCCCTCCGCGGAGAGCGTCCCCGCGAGACCCGATCCGGCGGCCGGCGACGCAGAGGGCAGCACGGGTCGCGTGCGCCCACCTGCTGCCCAGAGCCAAAACAAGACGCCGGTACGCGGGGGAGCCGGGCCACATGTCGCGCATCGGCGCGGGTTCGGTTCGGTTCGCCACAGCGGACCCTGGCTGCGTAGCCGGCCCACTGACCACCGATCGGATTACCAAAAGGCGGCGCGTCGTCGAGTCACAGGTCTCGCGACCAAAACAGCACCAAACCCAACGTTTCAGAACGGGCCCTTACGTGACACTCGCCCGTCCAAAGCGTCCCGTCCGGGGACAGTCCCCAGCAAATCCACGTGGCACGGCCCCAGTAGCACACGTAACACATGACCTGTTTCCCCGAGTTTAGTAGGTAAAGTTCAGGGCCGGGCCGGCCATGGGCGAAGCGAGGTGGGCGGCGCGACGGTGGCGCCGCCGGCGGCCGGCAGCGCAAGCGGCCGGTGAAAGAGAGTGAAGCCCACACGCGGCTGGATGTGGGTCAAGTTCTCGCGCTGCCTGAACGCACGTCGGGTTTACGAAACCGGCGATTGCCTGTGAGAGCGGGCGGCGATTGGGCGCAGCAGTCTGTCGCCGCAGCCGGCCGTGTCCCCAGGACGCACCAAAGCGCGCGCCCGGCCTCACGCCGGCCCTCCGGCACGGCCTCAACCCACTGACGATACCCTGCCCCCCTCCCCACTGACCGGCGTCACGCACCGGCGTCCGGCACGGAGCGGGCCCGACCGGCCGCGGGTGCAACATCCGGGTCAGAGCGGCGAACCTTCGCCAGCCCGACCGCGGTCCAGCGCCGCAAGGCCTGGTGTGCCGTCCACGCCTCGGAGAGCGCCGCAGAACACCGCGCATGAGCGCTCTGCCGCGCGTCCCAACGGGCGAGGATTCGCAAGAGGACTCCGCCAAGGCGGCAGGAATGCTACTCGAACAGGGCGACCGATCCCACCAAAGCAGAAGTGATTCTACCACAGCCGAACGATCACTCCCGCCAAGGGAGGGTTCCAACCACGCCCGGCGTGCCGAGGACATCGAGAAGAGGGTTCCAACCACGCCCGACGTGCCCAGTACATCGAGAAGAGGGTTCCAACCACGTCCGACGTGCTCAGTACATCGAGAAGAGGGTTCCAACCACGTCCGACGTGCCCAGTACATCGAAAAGAGGGTTCCAACCCCGTCCGACGTGCCGAGCACATCGAGAGGCGGCCGATTCCCGTGTGGTGGCCAGCCTGGCCGACACAGGAGCGGCGACTCGGCTCGCACCGCCGGCAGACGCTCGCCGCCGCTGGGCCGACGGCCAACTGCCCGACACGGTCGGCGGAGCATGCGGCGAAGGCCGCCGGGCGGCGACAGGGGCCGGCCGCACCGCAGCGCGTGTTGTGTGGTCACCCGCCGCCGGCACACGCAACCGCGCGCCGCCCGGCGCCGCGGGGCCGCGCGCCGAGGCGCCGGTCGCCGTCGCCGAGCCCGGCCTCGACCGGGCCGCAAGAAGCCGGCGGTCGGCCGCGCGGTGACGGCGCCTGTCAGCGTCTCGCAACAGAGCTGTCAGCGCGTCGCCGGACGGACCCGTCCCTGTCCCGCGCGGCGAAAGGCGGCGGCGAGGACGGGCCGGCGCCGGCCGCCCAGACAAAGCCGGACCAGGTGACACCAGACGTGACGTCACTCCTGACAGCCGGGTGCCGATACGTTTGGCAACTTGACCCACATTGTGAAGACAGTTGCATGTTGAGGCACAGTCCAAAACTCGTCTCGACTATTCCAGCACCGTGGAAACTTGCAAAAGCCGGTCAGCCGGCGATAAGTCATCCCTTGCACAATAAAAATGACACTGCTGAAAGCTGTCGAGAAATACAGGACGGCAGCCTGGCTATTGCAATGGACACAATGGTTTCCCAGCATGTGGGAACCTGGCGCCCTCGTTTCATGTCGTCAGATGGATCTGTCTTCACGCAGAACAGTCCGCGGGTCGAAAACCGGCGGTCGGCACTCGCCGGAATGTGTTCACCCTTTAAAGAAGGCGCCGTGCTGACCTGACAAGGGTACCGTAAGCACTCCTCCAACCATGCACGCCAAACATGCGAGTCTCCATTACGGCATCCGACTGCGGGCCAGTTCGGACGACTCGGACTGGTGCACGAGCCAGTTCGGATGAGTCGGACTGGTGCATGAGCCAGTTCGGATGACTCGGACTGGTGCACGAGCCAGTTCGGATGACTGGGACTGGTGCTCAAAAGCGGCCAGATCGCAGGCCAGCCACAGGGTCAAGCACAGACAGGTGGGCACACACCTGGAACGACCAGCGTTCGCTGTTGGAAGACCGCGACCAACGCCAGAGGACGGAACAATGCAGTTCTTGAGATTTGAATGTTGCAAACCAGAGCTGGCCTCCTCATGGAACTACGTGTCAATTTGGAAAGACTGGCCTGTTAAAGCGTGCTGAAGTCATGTGAGAGAGCGATATCATTTATCTCTTACAACTCATGATTGCATCCAATTAACGGCAACCAAGCAATTATGCCGCATCATAAAGGTCCCTTTAGGGAGAAACAGCCGAAGGAAAACAATTTACCCGTTCCGCATCGACCAGCCTTGACACAAATAGGTGGCGAAATGCTGGCCAGCTTTGCGCCAGAGTGTGCCGCGCCAGCGCACACGCCGCCCGCCTGAACCCGACCGGCCGCCACGGTCGTCACCACGTGCCGGGTACAGGCCCACGGCGCGTGTCGGTAGGTCTGTGACGACAGCACCCACCACGCGCGCGGCGCCGATGAGCTCACAGCAATGGAGCGCACACTGCTGGGGGTGCAGAGGAACCTATGGCGTCACGGGCTGACGTCGTGCGTTTATCTCGCGTAACGTGCGAGAACGGCAAGACAGCCCTCGTTTACCGAGGAGCCCAGCACCGAACAACACTGCCGCCAACAGTCGCCAAGCAGCAGCTGGCCCCACTCGTGTGACCATGTCTGCAACCAGCCGTGTCACACACACTGGTCACACGGGTGACCGCCGAGCTGGCAAACGGCGACCGGCGAGCGCCGCAGCCGCCGGTTTTCCCCGACGCGAGGAGACAATCCCGCCTTCACCGCGAGCGGCCGGCTGGTAACGCCTGGCCCGCCGGAGGTCTCTCAACGCTGCCGGGATGGCAGACGGGAGCGGAGCGTGCCGCCGTTGGGACCACGCGCGTGGCGAGGTCGGTGATGACCGAACGGGACTGTCTAGCGACGATTCGGATGCTGATCCCAAGGTTCCCCGTCAAATTGGACGCCCGACTAAGACAAAAACTAACACAAACAAGGGTGCTATTTGGCAGCCCATGTCGGGACAGCCATAGCAGACATTCCTTTGCAATGGTTCATTACAATTGCCGCCTAAAGCACGACCGCACCGCACATGCCGCCTTTCCAGCGTTTCGCGTATCTCGGCATCAGTAGACATTGTACAACCATCAGTTTACACGACACATCCCGCGAGTCCAGCGCCGTCGGAACGCCAGATCCCGGAGCGCGCCTCGGTCCAGCGCGAGCCGTGCGACGCCGGCAGCCATCGCAGCCGGCAGACGCGCCCCACCGAGTGCGGCCAGCGGGCGCGACCCGGCCCTGGCGGCGGCCGTCCTCCGACTCCGCTTCCCCTACGCTGTTCCGACGTTGTAATCAATCACAGGGAAATCTAACCGACGCCGAGCCGCCGGGGAAATGAGCCGAGCCCACAGCGCCCAGCAACTGCCACGTATCCACCATCGGCGCGAAAGCTGCTGAGAGGGGAGGGGCGATGAAGAGGGATTGTGTATCAGAAAAGGGATCCGAGGAAGGCGAGCATGATGTGCGAGATAGGGGCCAGCGCGGGAGTGCAGGCGGCAAGGCGACAGGGCTGCATCAGGAGACAATGCGAGGCGGGAGGGCCGACCGGGAAGGCCGAACGCAAGAAACAATGCAAAAAGATCATGTTCTGTAAAGATGAGCGCAAAAAGCGACCGGCCGGCCAGCCCGTACAGCCAGCAAGAAAAGCAATAGAGAATGGGAGTGATCAGGGCATGCCCATGATCGGAAACGGGCCCGGAGCCTGCAGGGATCCACCAGAAAGCGAGCCGAGTGAGCCGACAGAGGACGGAGCCGCCAGCCGGTGGCGGGAGAGAGCGACGGTGTGCTGAGGTGACCCGGGACTGCGTCGTTGGCCAGCGCCGGCGAGAGGGCAGCAGTGGGTTGCCGGGCCGGTCGTCGCCATGCCACAGGGCTAGAATCGATAGGAGCCGAGCTCGCGAGTTCAATCTGCCCTCCCCTCCCCCGGTCGGCCGGTCTGGCCCGGCCCGGCCGACCGGGCAACGACCGAGCCCGCCGTCATCAACACACAGACACACACACATACATAAACACACGCACAGACAGACAGACATACTCACGGCCCGCCGGGGAGAGGAGCAAGCGTTCGGACGGGCAAGACAAAGCCGGCCGGTCGGCAACGGCCTAGCAGGAGCGAAGCACCTCCGCCTCCACCCCCACCCATCCCCCTCATACAAACGGTCGCCGGGGTCCACACACAGTTGAACTATCAGAACTATCAGAACTACCAGCCGCCATAATTGAATAGCTTCCGAGCCGTTACTCAACAGCATGACCTTCCCTCAGCCGACCCACCAGAGCGCGACAGACCTTAGACCAGACCAGACCAGACCAGACCAGATCAGACCAGACCACACACCAGACCAGGCCAGGGTATCGGATCCAGCGTCGCACTCACCTCGCAGGATCTGGTAGAGGAACACCTTGACGTGGTCGGCCGACAGATGCTGCGGCGACACGATGATCTTGTGCAGGTCGCTCTGCATCAGCTCCGTCACCACGTATCTGCACGGCGCCTGGTCAAGGAGATCGCACGGCACGGCACGGCACGGCCGGCCGGTGGCCACCAACACCCAGAGCCGGCGGGCGTGTCATGCCTCAGACCATACAGGTGGTCGTGTCCTGTCGCGGCGAGCTGACCTGGTCGCTCGATGCTCCCAGGTCCCGTCCCCGGCCGGCGGCCGCCCAGCGCAGCGCCCCCCCCCCCCCCCGCCAGCCCGTCAGGTCCGTCCGCGACCATCCGCCCAGCCGACTGCCACACGCAAACCCATCATCCAATACGGCAACGACAAGATTGACGTTATATTACCACCCCAAAGCCTCAAGTGTCGTCTGAGTGTGGCCACGGCCAGAGCCAGGTGGAGCGCCACCCGGCTGGGCGGCAGCCCACACGTGCCACGGGACCGGCCCGCCAGCCAGTCGGCGCCGGCCGCGGAGCCCTGCGGCTCACCCCTCGCAGCTGCACCGTTACGGGCGTTTTACACCACCGGTTGCCGGCGCCGAGTCGGGGCAGATTAGCGCCGGCAGATCAATACCCAGAGAGAGCGAGCCTGAAACACGACCGCGGCTGGCGCTCACAGGTAGTGACGGCGCCGGTCCAAAGCCGGAGTCGGCCGCCGCGGATCGGTCTGACGGCCGGAGCAGCGCCGACCGCGGCTGGCGGGCGCTACCGAGATCGGCGACTGATGACAGCAGCCGTCATGCTCCCCCGCGGCAGTCTCTCGCTGGAGCCGGATCGGCACGGCCCAGAGCAGGCAGTCTCTCGCTGGAGCCGAATCAGCGCGGCCCAGAGCAGGCAGTCTCTCCCTGGAGCCGAATCAGCACGGCCCAGAGCATGTTTACCAGGTTTCGACAATGTACGTGACGAGCACGATTAAAAAGTGGCTTTCGAGGCGTGATTCATCGCATATCTCAGCCAGGCCCCAGCTGTCGCGGTGCGGTGGGGGAACTTCGACACCGCGCCGAACTTAAAACTAGCCTGCTGACGAAAATCTAACACAAGATCTCTGTGTTTTCATTGTTCTCCAAGCTAGACGTTCATCTGACAAGTACTTTTCCTGGGAATGGCCCAAGATATTCCGCCTCACACAAACGTATCACAGTTGGAATGGACGAGCGATTTCCCTATATGCAGTTTGACTGCATGAGCGATCGCTTATCGCCAACCATATCACTAACCCAATTGCCAATCTTTGAAGACAGACATGTCCAATTTTATGGACGCTAATACAGTTCACTTTATCAGCGAGAAGCACAAGTGCTAGCGTACTAACCGCAGCCCGACGCGCCTGGCATTTGCACAACACGCAATGGTATCTGGGCCTCACACTGCTCTCCAAGAGCAACACAGACCACAACCAATTGCTTAGGGAGTTCGCTTACTTCAAGCTGCTTCTACCAGTGAACTCAGCCACGAAGCTCAGTAAACACAGCGAAATACCAACACGAACGTCATTAAGCCCAACATTACGGCCTGGGTGTTTCCCCCACTCCTATGACAACTCGGTTGCCATAGCTACCAGACGCGGTGCAGTAGCGCCATCCTCCGCCTCGGGCGCACCCGTGCCGCTAGCATTATCCCTGAACGCTGCGTAGCTATCGGCGGCCTGGCATTGGGTGGCAGCGGCGCTCCTGCGCGCGGGCCGGGGAAGCGCCGCCGGGGAAGCGCCGCCGGGGCCGAGCGCCGGCCGGCTGGTGGGCCGGACCGAGGGAGCGCCGCCGGGGCCGAGCGTCGGCCGGCTGGTGAGCCGGACCGAGGGAGCGCCGCCGGGGCCGAGCGCCGGCCGGCTGGTGGGCCGGACCGAAGGAGCGCCGCCGGGGACGCGTGGTCGGCCGGCTGGTGGGCCGGGCCGGGCTGCGGGCCGCGAAGCCAGGCCGGGGACGTGTGGCCGGCCGGCTGGTGAGCCGGACAGGGCTGCGGGCCGCGGAGCCAGGCCGGGACGCGTGGTCGGCCGGCTGGTGAGCCGGGCCGGGCGGCCTGGTCCATCAGCCGGCCGACCACGCGTCCCCGGCCTGGCTCCGCGGCCCGCAGCCCGGCCCGGCCCACCAGCCGGCCGGCCACGCGTCCCTGGCCTGGCTCCGCGGCCCGCAGCCCGGCCCGGCCCACCAGCCGGCCGGCCACGCGTCCTCGGCCTGGCTCCGCGGCCCGCAGCCCAGCCCGGCCCACCAGCCGGCCGGCCACACGTCCCCGGCCTGGCTCCGCGGCCCGCAGCCCAGCCCGGCCCACCTGTTTACACCGCTGAGACGGTCTGAGGGACGGCCTGCCCAGACCGGTCCTACGTCCCTGCCTCTGATCTAGTGCCCTCTCTCTCCGGGCCGGGCCGGGGCCGCGGCGTTATAACAGGAGGCCCCGGCTCCCCACTGGACGAATGGAGCAGTGGCTCACCGTCGTCATACCAGGCCAGCGGTGTAGCCGAGAAGAGCAAAATACTCTGGAGCCCAAAAACCCTCCGCTTCTCGAGATTGCGGGGGCACTATGAGTCCGAACGCCAAGTACTTCTTGCCTGCTTAAGATAATAGTACGGCTTCTAGAACATAAAAATGCGCCCTCGATGCATCAAAATCAAATCCCGAGGCTAAAAAGGCTCCCGGGTCCAAAAACAAACCTCTGGCGATGAAGTGAAGACCCATTGGACAAAATGGCTCGTATGCCATAATTTGGTTCCCTGCTGGGCGAAATCCTGGCTACGCCACTGTGTTCGGCAGGGTGGCGGGGCTGCAGAGCCGACGACCGTTCACTACGCCACTGTACTGGGCAGGGTGGCGGGGCTGCAGAGCCGAGGACCGTTCACTACGCCACTGTACTGGGCAGGGTGGCGGGGCTGCAGAGCCGAGGACCGTTCACTACGCCACTGTGTTCGGCAGGCTGGCAGGGCTGCAGAGCCGACGACCGTTCACTACGCCACTGTACTGGGCAGGTTGGCGGGGCTGCAGAACCGAGGACCGTTCCCTTCCAGACAGCGAGCCTGCCGGTGTCCGTACGACTACGGTAGAGGGAGCGGGCTCTATACAAACTTCCTCGCAACAGAGCTGGAACAGTATTGGTTCGAATAGAGGGCAGCACGCAATTCCCGCGGGCGGGTTCTTGACGGCATATCATGTAACTTTCTGGTAATTATCTTGATCACAAGAAACAAGGTAACAGCCTCTTTGTTCGGTGACTTACACAAGCCGCCACGTTTTTGTGAAATTGAAAGTAAGTCGTAACATACAGGGAACTGATCATTTACCTTCTGTCAATCACCAGCGAAGACTCAGCTATAATTGACTAATTAAGACCCTCATTTGGGCTCAGAGTCATTATGGTAACTTACATTCGCCAGGAGGTAATGGTCAAATATCGTCAAGAAGAAAAAACTATTTGCATTGTAAATACCGAACGTCTTAACCTACGGTTATGATCACGAGTTGATACGATTAAACAAAAAATACATTATAAACCAAGATACGTAAGACTACACACTAGACAATCACACTGCGAGCCTGCGCAAATATTGTCAATAAAAAGATATCAGAATCATCCGAGCTCCCACATCCTAACACCTAGTACAAGGTCATGCACCAAGGAATGCACAAAACACGGGCGGTTACGTAGTGATGTCATGATGACCCATACTGAGCAGCGCCTTAGCAGCCCTGAGCAGATCTTAGCAGCATCGTGCACTGGGCGCTAGGACATGAATACCCAGTATGGGTTACCGTAGCCTTTCGGCTCAGTTGCCCGTATCTCATGCAGCCTTTGGCGTACGGCCGTGGTTCGGGCGTCGGGATGTGGAAGCTCGGATAGTCTATTATTTTGATAACTTCATGGTGACAGTGTCTGCCCATATTCGGAGCATTTTCTGAATTCACGTGTTGTGGTTTTTAACTGCTTCTTTTTTGTGTAAAACGCCATTAACTCGTGATTCAAACTGCATGCTGAAACGCGGAACATTGGCAACATAACCAACATTCGCTGGATAAGGTTGTTTAACTAGAAGCTCTAGGCGCATTGAAGGTCTTTAACTGTCGGCATATTCGGCATTAAGAACCCTGAACTCATAATGTCGAAGAGCCAGGAGCCTGGGACAATTCTTTCCAACATCATCTGAAATACCTTTTACTGTGTCACGTGCGACTTTGCAGCAAGCAAACAAAAAAGTTCGACAAATATAGCTGAGCAGCTCATCATCCCCTCTGATATAAACTATATCTCGGGCCCAGTGTCTGGACAGTGTGGTGAGAGGTGCAACAAATGAGCGATTCATTTCGAACAGAACAAAACACTCAGTTGAGCACGATCATCTGCAGCGTTCGTCTCTGCCAGACAACGGTTCCCTCGCTATCAATAGCCCATCCGGCAACCGTGGCGCGTCGATAAGAAGTCAGCAGAACAAGGCTTGCACCGATACGGCAAATGAGATCACGGAGAAAAAGCGACAGATGTAACAGTTGATAAAAAGATCCACACGGTGCGGAGACAGCTAACCATGATGAACTGCGCCCGACAATCGCCATCCACAAACACAATTATCGAAAGCGCACCGCAAAGACCCTGCTCCGCCCGTCGACTCCATTAATCGCGCCGGTGCCGCACCGGCCGGCCGCCACAAAGACCGCCGAGGACGGTGGCCGAGCCGCCTGAGACAAAGGGGTCGACCGGGTCGGCGGCGCGCTCTCCGCCGCAAAAACCGCGCGGCGCTGACCGGCGGCCGACGGCGGCGATCCTATCGGCGCATACCGCGCGCTGGCAGTAAACAGCGCCGGACGCCCCTCGCCAGCCCTTTAATTTTTAAATGGCGGCCGTTGGCGGCGCCAGCGGCGCCCGGCGGCTGCAGCGACGCCGGCGTGGGAACGCGCCGAGGCGGCGGCGGCGGCGGCAGCGGCGCGCCGGCGACAGATGCAGCGCGCGGCCGCCTATCGAGCGAGCGGGGGGCGTCCCCCGACGGCCCCGTCGGACGCCGCGTCGGTCGCGACGGGACGAACAATGGTGACGGCGCGGGGCGCGCGCCGCCGGTCGATACAAATAGGGGGAGCACACGCGGCGCAGGGGGCACCGACCGGCGTATCCGGCAGGTGCTGCGGTGCGGTTTAAATCGCCGGAGCGGGAGCGACGCCGACAACGGCTCGGTGCCGCCCCCCCCCCCCCCCCTACCCTCCCGAACCGTCCCCACCTCCGCGTGCAGGCGGCCATATCTCCAGGCAGGATACCGCCGGCAGTGGCCGGCTCCGGCTACTGCGACCCATGGCGGCGGCGGCGGCCGTCCGCCTCCGAGAATTCGGCCCAGTCAATTAGCGGCCGGCGGCCTGCCGCTGTCGCGGTTCGCCACAACAGGCCGGCCGTTCTCGCGCACCGCCGTGCCGCTAACACGCTGTTTGCGTCGGTCAGGTCGGTCCCAATCTCCCGCAAACAAGGCGCTCGACCGGCGACACCAGCCCGGCCATGAAACGACGCAAGCGCGCCATCAAACGAGGGTCGAGAGGGACGGCTCCCGACCGGAACGCGGCGAGAACCGACGAAGGAACGCAATGGCATTTACATTCGAATCGCCCGGCCCCTGGACGACCGCTCGCGACTGAGGGGGCTGCGCGTCTCTTTGAGCGGTCGCGGCGTGCCAAACAGCCGGCCGGTGCCCGCCCTCCCCGCCGTGCTATTCACCTGCGCGCGGCACCTTGCCCCGCCTTCAGCACCCTTTCTCAGCGGCGCGGCGGGAGGGGCGGGCGGCGCACCACGTGGAGGGGCGCCGCTCCGCCGCTTTGTGTCTCCGGGGCCAGACCGGGGCCGGGCCGGGCCGGGCGGCGTCTGCGCCGTCCGCCGCAGCCTTGTGGAAACAAGGACGGCCCCCGTCATAACTCGTCGCCCGCGCCGCGCCCGACGCCACAATGGGCGCGCGCCTTTGTCGGCGCGGCGCCGATGGCCCGCCCGTTTTTGCCGCTGGTTCGAGCCGCAGACCCGAGACAGGGGGTCGGACGGCCGGCCGGCGGCCGTGCTGCAGCGGTGCTCTCCGCCTGCCCGGGCCGGGCAGGGGCGTCCGTTCCGCCGCGGCCTGGGCTTCGCGGCACACTTCGTCCGGCCAGCACCGCCAGCCGGCCTGCGCACCGCATGCGTGGTGTGTCTCACACGCGCTCGTCACGTTACACCAGCCTCGATCCAGTGTGATTTGAACAAAACTAGCGCGTGGCATTGGCACGTTTTGAATTGGAGAATACCCGGGCCAAATCGTAATGGGGTTGGGCGACAGAGCCGTTGTCATGTTCGTCACCTGACAGCGTCACTGGTCCGCCCGACCTCTCCCGCCCATCCGAACTCCCGAGACACATCTGACCCCTCCAACTGGCCTCCCCTGTGTGGCCGACCTTTCTAGTCCGACTGGCCTTCCCGCGCCGGCTGACATGTCTGGCATATGGGGTGCCGAGCCTCCGGGGAACATCCTGACCTCTGCTGCGCGTCCCGGGTCCCTCTGACCTGCCAGGACCGGCTGTGTCCTTTGGGACCAGCTGACCTGTGCGGGTGCCGCCGGCGCCCGGAGGGAGGGGGCGGGAGCGACACGCGTCCGTGCCGGCCGGTCCACAGGCGGCCACATCACAGGAGCTGGTGGGCGACGCCGACAGCCGCCCGCTAATCGTCTAACGGGGTCCGGCCGGGCCGGGCGCACGTGCAGACGGAGAGCGCGGCACGGCAGGGGGAACGACAGCCTCCCCCCCCCCTCCCACTGATGCAGGCCGACGACTAATCAGAACAGATCGGTCTCTCCGGCCGAGCGGCACACAATCAGACGCCATTTTCTGGTTCATGCAGCAGGGAGAGGGGACAGACAATTAAGCCCCGCGCTTTCGCACACGTGCAAGGGCCTATAGCAGGCTAAAAATCGCTATGTGTTATTCATGTGGGGGGGGGGGGGGGGGGGGGGGGCATATGACGCAGCTAGCAAGCCAGCGGGGGCGGCGACAGGCGACATAGGGGTGCAGTGTGATCCAACCATCGTCAGCCCGCTAAAAACTCCGAACAGCGGCGATGGCTGGCGCTCAAGAGCTGCCGCCGCGCTCCGGGACGTCCAAAACCGCTGCCTTCGCCAGTAACAAGGCGGTGTCGACGACAGAACCCGCTCGCCACGAAAAAAGGAGCAGTCACCAAAATGCTGCGTTGGCTGTCGGCGCCCCTGCCCCCTACTGTCCACCGCACTCGACATCCTCAATCAGCGCCGCTGGCGGTCGTGCGGCGGCCGTGCGGCAGCGGAGGCGGCGGCGGCGGCGCGCTGCAGAGGGCGGCGCGGGGGTCGCGCGGCCGCTGACTCGACCGGCGCCCGGCTGTTGCGTCAGCGCCGGCCCCGGCCGCCGGAGCGCAGCGCGGTCACCGGCTTCGGCCGCGCACGCGCACGCACCTGGAGTACCACGCGCCGCCGCCGCCGCCGCCGCCGCCGCCGCCGCCACGTGACGGCCGGCCACGGGTCGGCACGGGCACACGGGGCAGGGCGAGGCGGACGAAATGGACGACACGGCTCAGGGATGCGGCAGCCCGTCCGGCCGCGCTCTGACGGAGCCAAACGGGTCAAACACATCGGACGTTTGACCTGGTGAACGTGAGGCAGAACAGCTAGACGGCCGTCACCATCATGTGCGGCTTCCAGGTCCAACGGGACGTCCAAGACAACCGCAGCACATTCTCAGCGTTTGCCCGTCAAATCAACAGGCTGCCATTCGCAGAGGCGTTTACGACCCACGCAAGCCCTCCGCCGACGGGTGGTGTTCACGCATCTGGACGGCGATGTCGCCGTGTTCGACGCCGTGTTATGATCGCCATAAGCCGTCAAACCGTGCAGCCCGGCCGGTCGGTGTCGGTGTCGCGTCGGTGCCGAGGGAGTGCGAGGCGGCCGCCGCCGACCGGCCGGCGTCGGCACCATCAGATAACACGCTCCAGTCCCCAATTACCTCCGCACACGGCGCTTGGACGCTCATCCATATTGAGCGAGCTCGGTTACCCCACGTGATGTCCGCGCCAACTCGGCGCAGCGGGGCGTGCCGATCGACTGGGCGAGGGGCACCGGAGGGGGAGGGGGAGAACGCGAGCCGGTGCCCGGCAGTTATTTAGTGCAGGTCTGCTCTGCCGGCAAAAACTCGTGAAACGGCCCATCAGCGCCGTTAAGATATTCTGTGATGACTCGTCGTATTAGTAGGGCGTATCAGAAAATTATCTCACAACGCACGTAAGCGCTGTAACGATTAGCGTCAAAAACGCTTAGCCCGGCTGCCCCATCAACAACGTGGCAGTCCGCGCCGATCCACCATCAACCACGCACCCTCCAGATCAATGCCGCCATGAGCTCACAACACCCCCTAAGCCCCGCGACAACAACCAGCATAAACTAAACGTAACAAAACCCCACGCAAACATCGTGGCGGCTGCGCGGGGCGCGACCCTCAGGCGCAGCCGGCGGGGCGCGGCCGTCCGCCGGGCACCGGCCGCCTGCTCCCGTGACCCGGGCGGCGCCGGCCGGCCGCGCGTTTGTTTGTGACGCAGCCGGCGGCCGATGATTGGTCAGCCAGCAGGTGCGGTGACCCCGCGGCCGGGGGAGGAGCGGGTGATAGCGCCCCGGCCGGCGGCCGCCGCCCTCCACCCGTGCTATTGACCCCCGCGCCGGGCGCGCACAGACGCACACGAGCGTGCGGCCGGCGGACGGCGGCGGCGCGCCCCGTCGCCCGGCGCCGCTCTGCAAAGGCGGGCTCGGCTCGGCTCGGCTCGGCTCGGCTCGGCTCGGCTCGGCTCGACGCGCCGCGTCCCCTCTCCCGACCTCGTGCTGTCGGTCTCGAGCGCTCGGCGCGGCGCCCGGACCGCGATCCTCCTCGCCCGCCGCTGACCCGAGCGTCCCGAGCCTGACCGGGAGCCGGGCGTGTCAAACAGCACGCCCCGCGACCCCGGCCCGCGGTCCTCCTCGCCCGCCGCTGGCCCGAGTGTCCCGAGCCGGACCGGGAGCCGGGCGTGTCAAACAGCGCGCCCCGCGACCCCGGCCCGCGTCCACTCCAGGCATCCCCCGCCACAGAAGGAACCTTTCTGCGCGCGGGTGGCTCAGCACCCCGCCCAAGCACCACCCTGCCGTCTCGCTCCACGGCACGGACGTCTGGCCAACTTGAGCACTCATCCCTCTGGACGGTGCCCCCTGGCCGCGCGCCCTCAATCCGGCGAGAAAAGGATACATCTCCTGGAAAAAGTCTATGTGCGGCGGCTGCAGAATGTCCAGCGCCGAGAGCACCTGCAACAGACGGTTGGCGTCAGACGACAGCGGTGCATGCGCCTCGTGCTATCTTGTCGAAGCCGAAAAGCCGCTGAGGCCTGCTTTTGACGATACTGTCCCAGAGTGCACCCATTTCCACCCCGGTAAGTCACAAATGGTGAGTCATTTTCTGGTGGCGCTTTATTCCTCAGTCAGGGTTTTCCTTCCAGACCCCTCCTCTCCCCTGATCACAGCTGGTAGACCCGGAGGCCGCCGGACATGATGTTGGCCAACCGCACGATGGGTGGGGGGGGGGGGGGGGGGGGGCAGGCGCCGTACCGATGAGCGGTTTCGGAGATGCGTCACAAAAGGTGTCGAATGTTTTCAAGGCATGTCATGCGCTGGCCGATCTCCCACGACTTCTCCCTTCGGGAGCAGCTGGCAGCCATCCCTGACCTCCGCTGGGGTCAAACCACTCCCATTATGAAGAGCTTCATGAATCGTACAGAAACAGATCTCATTTGATGCGACTTTAAAAGTCAGCGTTGTTGACGATGTTGAGATGCGTTTGATGAAAACAAAAACGGTACAAGTCCAGTTTGATAACACGGACAGGTTTTCCGTTTTATAGCATTGCACGGGCATTAACATAGGACGGAAACAATGCCTGAAGCGTGAACAGAGGCATATCCATGTGAGATTACAGGGATAAGTTCAGGATATCGAAGCTGATCGGCTACGGCCACCTAGGATTGCACCAGACACATTCCAAGCAGCACCAGCCACCGCATTCAGTGGTGCAACAATGCTACAGGGCCTTCCTCGACCCGACATTTTGCCGGGGAGTTGCGTAAGGCAAAAAGACAAACAGAAGGTTGGTGTCGCCTATCGTTGCAAACTCCACCCGGCAATGAAGTCCCGTCTCCCCCCCCCCCCCCGCCAATTGAAGTGCAAGTGGGTCAGAATGATCGTCGTGCGTCATATCCGTCAGTTGCGCTCCACAGGACCGCCCCGCACGGACCGACACACGGTCACCCCTGCCTATAAACACACATCGCCGCCAGTACACTTCAGATGGCGGATATACCAGCAGGCCAGCCTTGAAGGCACGGCAGGCTTTACTCCGCGTCACCGGGGCTGCAAGGTACAGCCAGAAGCCTCTGTTGTAGTGGCGTCCCATTTCACGGACAGAAGTTTTTTTTGTGGGACCACAATCGGCGACAAGAAAGCAGGAAAGCGGGGCATCGGCGACAAGGAAGCAGGGAAGCGGGGCATGGGTGATAGGGAAGCAGCGGACGCCTGGTCATGGCTTCCGCCAGCTTATCAGCTGATTGCTGGGGCTTAACAGCGGCTAGCAACAAACTGGCCCTCGCAAGGCCCACCGGACAACGAACCTCGCAGCTCAGGCCTTCCACGCCAGCACACGAGCTCCATAATACACACCAAATGCACACAAACATCGGGTCATCACAAACGCGCGCTGCTCGGCAGCGAGGAAACCCGCCGTGTCTATTATGCTGTTATTTTGCAGATAACCCAAACACGCGCCGGCAGACCGGAGCGGCACCACATCTCATCGGCAGCCCACCCAGCTCGACGCGGCGGCGTGGCCACATCGCGTCGCGTGGCGTCGCGCAGCTGGGCCGCGTCGCCCGCTCGGCGGCGGCGGCCAGCCGGGCGGAGCGCGATCGGTTCAAGGACCCGGCCGGCCGTGTCGGGACAAAGAGCCGACATGTGGCGGCCGGCCAGGCGGCGCAGCTGGCCGCACGGCCGGCCCGGTACACACGCGCTGGGCTCCTCCGCCGGCGTCAGGACGGCTCGCCGCGCACAGAGCAGCCGCCGGCCGCCGGCCGGCCGTCAGCTGCTGCACAGCAGACGCTGCCGTCGTCCAGCAGGCCTGGTCTGCAGCGACAGCGCACATACACAGCGCGCGTGCACAGCACGGGCATACGAAGCACGCGCGAGGCCGGCGGAGAGGCGGACCGTAGACCCGCTGGCAGGCAGCGCGCGTCGCTCCGAGTGTCGACACGACTTCGGCGGCCGCGCAACATGCCGGACGGGCGCGCGCGACCCTGGCGCGCAAGACGAGTTGTCGAGCCTGGGCGGCGGGCCCAACTACTCACGTTGTCGTGTTTGAAGAAGCACAGCATCTTGAGCTCCCTGAAGACGCGTTTGGCCGACACCAGAGTCTGGAAGACGTTGGGCATTTTCTTGAGCGCCACTCGTTTGCCGTCCCTGGGATCTGTGACGGCCCTGAAACCGACGACACTGACGTCACATTGGGCGCCCACTGCATGATAACCACGGCTGTAAACATGCGCTGACTGGAACATAGTTTCCTCTTCCGGAGAAGCGTTCCGACCATGCACGCCACGGGCGGGATCACAATACTCCGCAGGACGTGACTCGCCTGCAAATGACGCCCTCCTTCTGTACCCCTCTCTTCCTCTTCAGTGGCGGCGAGCGCAAGCGCCCGACCAACGCCCCCTCCGCGTCGGTCGTCCACCCGCCCAGCATCCACGCTCTCATTCCGATTCGCCGTCCCGCCAATGCTCGCACGCCATACAAACACCAGCGCACGCGGGAACAGACATCTAAAATTAGATCGGGAGGTGCGCGCACAAACACGCCCTGCGTCGCGCACGCGCGGGCGCTCGTCGTGCTGCGCTCTCAACGCGTCCTTGGGCCGGCGTGCCCGGCGGCGGGCTGACCCCGCTGACCTGACGCCGCTCCCCCTCCCCGGGCGGCCTCCCGCGTCGCCGGGCCGGCGGGGAGGCACGCCGCCAGCGCGCCGAGGCTGGCGGGCCCGCCGCCGCCGCCGCCGATGACGACGACACCCCGCACGACCGACGAGGAAGTGGCGACACTGCACGCCGGGGCAGGGGACGCCGGCCCCGCGCGGCGCGCACCCAAGGCTGATGCGGCCGATACAGGCCGTTTTTCGGCGCCGGAGCCTTGATGTGGCCGGTAAAAAGCGGCGCCGCGGAGCCGGGCTGCCGGTGGCCAAGGTGAGTGGGGGCAGCTGCGGCGGGCGCGGGCGCACGGCCGGCAGCCGGCGGATGACCCTGGGACGGCGGACGGCGGACGGCGGACGGCCCTGCAGCCGGGCGCCGGCGGCCCTTCACCGCACGCCGCGCACGACCGGCCGCCGGCCAGCTGCGGCGCGACCGAGCGCCCAGTTCCGACGGGCGAGGCCCGACCCGGCCGCCCACAGCCCCACAAATGGCTCAAACTGCCGCTGAGAACACTGGCAACGTGACAGAGACCAATGGCGAGCGTACGACCCACCCGTGCGCAGCCGGTGTGATCGCCATCGCCCGGATCGCGGGCGAGACAATCCATCCCGAACCAAACTGTGCGCAGTGGGCCAGCTGGCGACCCTCGAGCGCGACGCCCCGCCTGTCGGCGCCGCCAGCTGAAGGCCGGTCCGCGTGCGGCCCGCCGACGGCTCGGCTGGCCGTCGGCTGTCGGCGCGTCCCTGCAGCCGGCTCCACCCGGCCGACGCCGACGGCGAGCGAAGCCGTCCGCACGCCGGCTAGGGTTTCGCGCCGCCGCCGGCCGCGCGGCGCGCCCGGGCGGCGGCGGGTCGACGCCCGCGGTCGACATCCGGCCGCCGGCGACGCTCACCCCGTGGCCGACCCGAGCCGGCGCAAGGGCCCGGCAGACCGTCGCTACGCCAGCCAGCCAGCACGCACGCCGTGCCGTTGGCCGGTGGAGAAAGCGGCCGCCTGCGCCGCGGCGGGACTCGGAGGCGGCCGGCGGTGGCGGAGGCGGCCGGCGGTGGCGGTGGCGGCGGCCGCAGCAGCCGCGACGGCGGGCAGCGCCCCTTCCTGTGGCGGCCGACTGCGCCGTCCTGAGCCGGATGGCGGCGTCAGCGGCACGGCGGAAGGGCCGCCCAATCTGGTCCATTGCCGCCGCAGGGACGCGGCGCGTCCTGTGGTGCCGGCACGGCGGGGCCGACGCCACGTCCGCCCACAGCTCGGTCCCCGCCGGCCGGGCGCCGCCGATCGTCAGACAGCTGGCAGCCTCGCTGAGCAGCCCAGCCCGACTAGGGACGCGGGGACGCGGCACGTCCCAGCTCGGCCCCGCCGGCCGGGCGCCGCCGATCGTCAGAAGGCTGGCAGCCTCGCTGAGCAGCACGGCCCGACTAGGCTGGGCTTCACGGCGTCAAGACCGCTGCACGTCAGTGTATAACTGACCCAGCTGGCCACCAGGCAGACGGCGCCGGACAGTGCCAGTGTGTAACTGACCCGGCTGGCCACCAGGCAGACGGCGCCGGACAGTGCCAGTGTGTAACTGACCCGGCTGGCCACCAGGCAGACGGCGCCGGACAGTGCCAGTGTGTAACTGACCCGGCTGGCCACCAGGCAGACGGCGCCGGACAGTGCCAGTGTGTAACTGAACCGGCTGGCCACCAGGCAGACGGCGCCGGACAGTGCCAGTGTGTAACTGACCCGGCTGGCCACCAGGCAGACGGCGCCGGACAGTGGTGCCTGATAACCATGTGGGGGCCGAACTGGAGTGGGGCTTTTCCCGGAGCCCCCTCCCCCCCCCCCTTCCGCCACAACCAACGTCGGGACACAGCTGCGGTCGCACAGCGTGCAGGAAGTAAGGCACGATTACTCAAATGGTGACGCAGTTGGATATATAGACCCCCGGCGATCCCCAGGGATTACCGGCGCCACCTACCGCCACCGAACACACGACAGGACGCAGCGTCCCAGCCGACGCCAGATTGGGCCCTGTCAAGATGACCCGACCTCGACGTGTTCTGCGTTTTTAACCCGTTGGCGACCGGGGTCGGGGTCCGACCGGACAAGCTGCCGACCGATCTGACCCTGACCAACTCCCGGCGACATGGACCGGTCTCGGCGCCCCAAAGGCGACCCGCGTCCGTAACCTACACCTCCTGTAAGTTGTGACGCACCGGACTCAGCCCCCGCCTTCACCTGGGCTTCACACGTCAGCGCGCCACCGCACTCCCCGGCAGCTGCGCTATGTCACCCGGCACTCGCACGATCTATCGACAGGCAGCCGGGAAAACCCCCGCTGAGGTGGTGCGGTCGCGCCAGCGATGGACACGCCCTAGCCACACCGCCCCCGAGCTGACCCGGACGGACCGAGGCCTCCGAGGTGGCGCCGTCAGCCCCGGAGGCGGCGCGCGAGCATCGCTCTCCCACGGTGCCGGCCCGGACATGCCGGCCGCCGCTGGCCCGGGCGGACGGCACCGGAGCTTTTTGCGAGCCGCGGAGGGCATCGGCCCCGCCCGGGGAGGCGCGCGTCCGCAGCTCGTGACGCCGGGGTCGGGGCGGCGAGGCGCCGCAGATCCCGCCGCCGCCCGGCTGCCGGCTGCCGGCGGCGGCAGGGTCTGCGGAGAGAGAAGGCCGGCGCGCCGCGCGGAAATGTCCGGCTCTGATTCAGCGGTGCCGCCGACACACAGACCGGCCGTGAACCGGCCGGCCGGCCGCGCCGCCGCGTGGGACCGGCCCGTCCGCCCGAGCGGCGGCCAGGGTACGCCGCCGGGGAGGGCTGAGACCACCAGCTCCTACCCTCTAGAGACCGCACCGGTACCGCCGCGCCCGCTGAGGAGCCGCGCACACGAGCCGGGCTGGCTCGCGACACAGGACGAGGGCTGCTCTCTCGTCACGTACGGCCGGTGACGTCACACCGCCGGCCAGGGTCTGTCGCGGGGCGCCGAGCACCGTCATCGCCGCTGGCGGCGGTCGGTCGCGGCGCCACCCCTGCGCCGGCGGCGGCCACCGTTCCCGGCGGCGTCCGCCTGACCTTGCGCCGCGCGCCGAGCCCTTTGTTCAGCCGCGATCCCGAAAACCAGTCCGGCACGTCAGCGGCCGGCCGGCCCGTGGGAGCCGCGCGGTGACGTCACGCGGCGGCCGCGCGCGCGCCAATTACCGTCGGCTGGCGTGCATGCTGAGTCTCCGGCCGAGCGGCACGCCGCCGGAGCAGCGCGCCGGCTCATTCATTGTCCACGGAGCGGGCGTGGACGCGCGGTCGCCGGCGCCTGCTGACCCTGAAGCGGCGGCCATCAGATCGCGTCCGGCGGACATTCCTGGCCAGCGGCCGCGGGGCGGCCCGGCCCGGCCGGTTCGCGCTACACGACGCCCCTCCGATTCGGCGGCGGCCTTATAGAGATACTCGGTAGCGTCTCCGCCAGGGCTTCCCGTGCACGGACGGGCCGCCACAAAGACGGCGGCGGCTGACGCGCGCCACCCGCCGCCAAAACACGGCTCGGTCACGCTGCCGCGCTGCCCGCGCCGATTCCCGGCTTGTCACACCGCCGGGAGGGGGGGGGGGGGGGGGGGAGACGCTCCTGCGCGGCCCGCGCCTGGCCCGCCGGGACCGCCAGGAGCCGCTCCCGGCAGCCAGGCACGGCACGGCTCCCAGACCGCCCGATTACCGCCGGCTGGCTAATGGGGCGCCGGGGCCATTTCGGGCGAGCGGGCGGCCGACCGGCGCGGAGACGACGCACGGCGTAAACACGGCCGCCGTGAGCGTGGGAACCGCGCCGCGAATCAATACCGCGAGTGGCTTCATAACAGCTGGCTATTTACGGCGGCCGATGCGGCGCCACAAGGCACCGCGGAGAGCGGCGGCATTGACGACGGCGTGATCTGTCAGCCTTCGCCTCCGAGAAAACAGTCGGCCCCGCTCGGCGGCCGCCAAGCGTCCAACAAACATTGTGGCACCGCTCTGAACGGCGCGAGGGACACGGTGGCACCGCTCTGAACGGCGCGCCGGACATGGTGGCGCCGCTCTGAACAGCGCCAGAGACACCTAGAGGGAGTGGTATCTGATGGTCGGTGCCGTACACAATGAGCGCGTTCAGGCCGGATGGGGACATCACGACAGGCAGCTAGGCATGTCGTCGACAGGCTCCAACGACCGAACAGGAAGCTAGATAACAAAGACCCGGCCGGCAAGCAGCGTGTGGAAAGCCAGGTGAAGTGGCGCAGCGATGCGACCGGTCCTCTCTCCTGTCTCCGGCTGCAGGCTCCGGTCTCGCTGGAGGCTCCGGTCTCCGGCTGGAGGCCCGGTCTCCGGCTGGAGGCTTCGGTCGCAGGCCGCTCTCGCTGCCTCCTCCACCGGCCGCTGACACTCTCGTGCCGGCGGCTGTCGGCCCGGCCTCTCTCCCGTCCTCGACTGTCAGCTCCCGCCTTTTCTCCTGCCGTCGGCTGTCGGCCGCAGTGCGCCGGCCGGGCGCGCTGGCCTGCTGCCGCCGGCCGAGGCCGCCACGACAGCGCGCCGCACAGCACCGGCAGGTGGTGGCGCCGCCGGCGGCGCGCGCACACACCTGCCCGTCCGGCAAATGTCACGGAGCGCAGGCCGGCGCCCGCTCCTCCGCACACAAAGCGCACAAAGCGGCCGGGCGCGCCGGGCCGGCCGACAAGGGGCGGCGCGGGCGGAGGAGGCGGCCGTCGGCCGGCCGGAGGTCAGCACGGGGACACCACGTGGGCCTGTCACCGGCGTGTCAGCGGCGGACAACGCCCGATGGTCGGCTGACGAGAGGCAACATGGCTGCAAACGTCCCGTGGGACACTCCATGGAAGCGACGCTGGAGCAAACTGCGGACCAAGACGGCGTGCGATATGACGAAATGTTTCATAAGCGAGCACTTCCAGCGAGTCGCTCCGGGCGTCCATGCCACGTCAAATTGTATCGTATTGTCAAACAGAGCCAGGCCATGCCTAATCAGTCATTACTCAGACGGACTCGACCCGCGCCAGATGGAGAGACGAAATCCGTGCTGCGCCAGCACGGGTAGGAAAGAGAACAGAACAACGAGCGGGAGAGAACAGAGAGGAAAATGGCGCGGACAGGAGAGCAAAGGACACCGATTACGGAAAGTCGGTGGAAACAACAGAAAAATAGCCGGAAAGGAGCCGCCGGACAGACAGTAAATGCATATTGGGTGAGGAAACTATGCAGGGGATCGGCGGAACAGAAGCGCAGACACCGCAGGCGAAACTGATCCCGCCAGCGCGGACCCGTCACGACCTCACCCCACCGGCCGTCCAACGTCACCCCACCGGCCGTCCAACGTCACCTCACCGGCCGTCCTCGCCTCGCCGGCCGTCCTCACCCCACGGGGCGTCCAACATCACCTCACCGGCCGTCCGGACCGCCGCAGACCGGCCGGCTGGCGCAGCAGCGCAGCCGCAGCCAGTCGGCCGCCCACCAACTGGGTTAAGCAATCAGGGCCACCGCGGCGGCGGTGATTCGCATGTCGGCGTGCGTCGCACCGGCGCCAGCCAACGCCAGTCCGACTGGCGACGACCGGCCACCGGCGCCGTTCTCCCCACCTGGCGCGCCATCGGCCCTCGAAACCCTTCACTCAAGAGCCCGGCTGGGTACGCTCCTCATGCGCCGTGCGTGGCCACGCTCCGGGCCGACCAGCGGGCGCTGCTGTCCAGCCGGATGGAGCTTGAGAGTCAGCGGCGTGCGTCATAACCGGGCGCCGACTCACTCCGTGCGTCAGCGGCGACGCCGGCCGGCCGCGCCGCCGGGCCTGCCGCGGGTCCGGCCGGGTCCGCGCGGCCGCGTGGCCGGTGAAACTGGCCGCCGCCGCCGGCCGCTGCAGCGGGCAGTGCAGCTCGGTTCGCACCCAGTCGGCCGCGTCACAATAGGCGCCGCTGCAGCGCGGCAAGTCTCGAACGGCTCCCGGCGCCAGCAGTGTCCGCCGCTGCCGACGCCCCAGTCACCGGCGACAGCTGCTCGTACATCTGGTCCGCGCCGGACGGCGCGCCGCAAATAGGGCGCGTTAGTCGCGGCCATGGCGCGCGCGACCCCACTCCAGCCTCTCACCCGGGCGAGGGGCGCGCGCCCGTGCGGGCCGCACCACCGCGTCGCGCGCGCGTGCGCCCGCGACCTCTCTACCGGCTCGGGCGGTCGGGAGTTGGTGGAACGACGGGCGGCGCTGGATACACCCCAGCGACGCCGCCTTTCTCCGCGGCCCGGGCAAGCACGCCTCGCCTTTGACCCAGCGCCCGGCTGCCGGCCGCGAAAGCGGATCGTGGCCTCGCGTTCGATAAGGGGGCGTGCTCGGTTAGATGGTCACGGCAGCGGCGGCGCTCATCTTGTGAACCGATCGAGCGCCAACACGCTGCAGCGCTCGGCTCGTGTCGACAGCGGCAGCGGCGGTCGGAGGTCGCTCGGCCGACCGCGCACCGCCGGCGAACGCCGCCTGCCCACCGCCCGGTCTTTGCGTCATCGGTCGGCGCCGCGCTGCAACGCGTGCCGCGGCATGTGGGCCACCGTAGACGAGGCAGCGACCGGCGGCCAGCCGGCGCCGGCGCCGGCACGCGGACGCCGCCGCCGTCAGGGGCGGCAGCGAGTGAGCCGTTCAGCGAGGCGCGAGCACAACTCTGGTCCGGACCAGAGACGCGTCGCAAACACCACCCGCGGCCTATTTTCGCCCGACGGTCGGTGGGTCGGCCGGCCGGGCGCGCGAGCGGCAGATGGCCAGTGCGGCGGGTCCCGACAAAACAGCCCCCGTGGGGGCTGGCCGGGCGCCACCGGTCCAGAGGGACGCAGCGGCCGAAGCCGCGCACACGTGCACCTCCAGAGAAAGTCCGCCGCGGCTCTCCCTTTCCGCCGATCGCCAGTTGGCGTATGGAAACGAAGTGGGTTACGAGGTCAGGCGAAGCGCTGGCAGTCAATGAAAGCGAAACCCGCGCGAGCGCGCGCGCGCGCTTAAGCGGGCTGCTGGCGGCCAGCAGGGGGCTCGAGGCAACCCCGCATGGTTACAGCGGCCGCCGCCGAGCTGCAGCCGCAGTAGAGTTCGTGTCAGACGGGACGGCGCACCTCCGCCACCAGGAGGGTGGGGGTGGGGGGGGGGGGGCACTCCGGCACCGGCAGCACCACCACCCGGCGGCAGTGAACGAGCCAGCCGCTTTGTAAGGCGGCGTGGTCACCTGCGCTCAGCCCGACGGCTGCAGCGTGCACTGTCCACCGCCGTTTAGTTCCACATCCCGGGTCCGAACGATACGGGGCACTGCCATCGGATGGAGCACGTTGTGTAACGTCGTCGCGGCACGCTGGCGCCGCGACAGATCGCCGGCTGCAGCCGGAGCATCTGTCGCGGCGCCAGCCCAGAGCGGAGAGCTAACGTGGGCCGGGGCCAGGGCACGGCCGTCTCGGCGGAGGGAGTAGCTTCTAACAGGTGAAAGGTCACAGCTGACCTGGAAGAGCCATTTCCGTTCAAACGGGGGTCGTGCTGGCATAATGATGGCTTCGTTTATACGAAATCAGCGACATTTATTAATTTGGTGTCGCTCGTTATTGAACCTCAGCAGAGCAAATCAATACCCGACGACTGTCATCCGTTCCCCCCTGCCGATGCGAGCCTTGCCAGCTCTTTCTCCCCAGCCGCCGCGCCAGTCAGTGAGCTGTAATCGCTCCCCGCGAACGCCCCACGCCTTGCCGACCACCCCTCCCCGACGGCGCTCGCTCCCCGGGGAGTGGAGCCGGATGGGCTCTCTTCGCCGGAGTTCATTCAACCATACATTGCCTGCGTCGTCGAGGGATATTACCTACGGCAGCATCTCTCTTCTCCCACGAACGTGCGCCGCCCTCGCCTGCGCACACGCCCCGTTCCGTCCTCTCCCGCCCCGCGTGCCTGTCTCCTGCCGTGCGGCGGGCGCGCGTCACGCGACTGGGCCCGCGGACCGTCTCCAGCGGTGCTGCCCCGTCCCGAAGCCCAAGTGGCGGCCGCGGTACTCACCAGACGACGCCGAACGCGCCGTAGCCGATGGGCCTGTCCGGCTGGGCGTCGGTCGGCACCACCGACGCGAACATGGGCTGGGCGGCGGCCAAGATGGCATTCTGCGGGCCGCTGACGGCGTGGAACGCCATCATACACTGCCGGGAGCTGCGGGTGCCCACCACGGCCATCAGAGGCGCGGCACGGTGCCCGCCGACCTGCCGACAAACGAGAGGTCAGATCACGGCTCGGGTCACGGGTCCACACAGACCATTAGACAGTACAGCGCTCGCCGACCTGCCGACAAACGAGAGGTCAGGTCACGGCTCAGGTCACGGGTCCACACAGACAATCAGACAGCACAGCGTCCGCCGACCTGCCGACAAACGAGAGGTCAGGTCACGGCTCAGGCCACAGGTCACACAGATCATCAGAGGGACGGCACGACGCCCGCCGACCTAACCACAGCCGCCAATCGAGTCACAGGTCGGGTCATGGGTCATTAAAGGGCCGGTGCCATGCCCGCCCGCCTGCGGACCAATACAGGTCAGGTCACAGGTCACCAGAGGGGCGGCGCGCCGCACGCCAGGCTGACCAGAGTCGCCAATCGGGTCACAGGTCGGGTTACATGTCATCACAAGAGAGGTGTAATGTCCGCCCACACGTGGACAGATGTGGCTCCGGTCTAGGTCCGGTCACGGGTCATAAGAAGGGCAACACAGCGGACGCAGACGGGCAAGTCAGTTCACAGGAATAACTGAACTGACTGATTCGTTGCCATTGCTATAGACGGTGTCTTGTTACCTCTGTTAGATCCCAATTATTTCACTTGATAATGCATTCTGAAAGAGTTGACTCCTTTGTTGATCCCATAACTTGTATTTGATATTGCATCCCGAGAAATCTCCGTAGTGAAAAGGGAGTTCGAATACAAATAAACGTAGTGAATACAAAATGTCGGTGCCGAAATATTCTAAATTAGAGTATATTTGTGGGTCAAATCGCTCTCAATATCAAAATACCGCGATCATCAACAGGCCACACCCCAATGTCGTCATTGACAGACAGCTAAGGTGAGCTAGTTCTTTTGTCCAATGAGCGCACCGCAAATACCAGCGCTCGAACAAAACACATTTACACGTCAATCACGCCGAGATGTTTATTGGGGAGCGAGGACGCGCGAGCCATCCTGACGCGGCCGCTGCCAGTTCCGGGGCTGGAGTACGGAGCCAGCCCAGCAGGCGCCCCCATTGCCGGCCGCCGCCCCTGGTCCCCACAGCACAAGCCAAAGCACACACACAGACATACATCTACGCCAACACGCGTACACACGCCAGCCAGCTTTGCAGGTCTGCCTGCCGCAACAGGACAGGATGACCTGAAGAACACTGAAGGGTGAATGTTGCACAGGACAGAAAACAACTCAATGCTGTGACTTCATGAGCTTAATGGCCAAACCATCTGAGTTTCCAAACAAAGTGGCTTGCAACAGCAAATCTGTGCAATTTGGCATCGCTTCAAACTTGTGATAAAGAAAAAAACACTGCAGTTCAAAGAAGCCACTGCACCCATCCCTGTTGTCAAGTCGGTGGCAAACTAGACATATGGCCACTGTATAGTAGGCAGGTGGGTTTGTGTTCCAGAAACTACGTATGGCAAAATAAAACTGATGCCCAGGTGGTGATTGGCCATGCCAGCCAAGCCGACACTGGGTCTGTGCCACACCAGACAAGCAGACACAGGGCCTGTGCCATGGCTCCAAGTTCCATATTACAGAACATATTTTTGGAAACTGTTTTTGAAAAACAACTGCTTACTGTGATGGTGGGATCTAAACTAGTGGTCTGTATGTTTCCAACAAGCCACTAATCTTTGAATTATTTATCTTCTGTATGTTTCCAACAGGCCACTAATCTCTGAATTATTTATCTATCATTTTATCAATGGCTGACTAAAAAATTGGAGTGGCAAGCATCAATTTCATGCCAGGCCACCTGCCTGTATCTTGGTAAGCCAATTAAGGCCAGCCAGCAGGCATAAGAAGTGAACCTATATCACTATTATGACAAACATTTGATGATTATCACTAGTATCCCTTTATGTGCCTGCACTGCAAGGGTGGATCCAGGATCCTGTATGGTTCCATGTTAATTGGCTACAGGGATTGTTTGGGGGAGGGGGCTCCAACAAAATGTTTACAAATATGATACCTATCTGACTGATAAAGACTTCCACTAACTTCACACTAAAAAAGCATAACATATACTAAGCACCAATATCTAAACAGCACATTAACATTCTTTTTACATTATCTTCACAAAGGCTAATGCCATACCCAAGAGTTTGCAACTAGTGATAGCCTGCTATCATGGGGAAGTTTCCAATGGGCTGTCCCAGACTGCCTGGTAATAGCATCTGTCAAGCTAATTAGTGCCATCTCCTAGACCTTTGGGAAGCAATCTTTTGAGTGGGCTCCTAGTTGAAGTATTGAATGAAATGGCTTGGTGACCTGGACTGGACAGTTGCTCAAGCCTACTCCTGGAAGATAAAGCTGAAAAATAGCCGAAATTCCATTGTCACATGTGCTGCTAATGCTTCTTAACATCCTGCCACAGGACTATCAGCACTTAGTGCAAAGGGTCACACATATCTGAGTGTATGAACTCCAGCAGAAATGTAAGTTGCCAATGAGATACTTCAGGCAGCTTCAATGCCTCACATCTTGAGCCGCATCACTGACCCAAACTTGTTTTGTGGAAACCTGCCATGGTTGGCATGCTAGCACATGGGACAACTTGAGCAACTCGGTGTCGCAACAAGCAGCAAAGGCTGATAACCAGATTCAGGGCAAAACAAAGAATAGAGTGTAACACATCAACCTTACATTGGCCTGGCATCATAATTGCATCTAGGTTTTATGGGAAAGCAGTATCTAATAACAGTTTGGTTGCAAACAGCCAGTTTTGGGGGCCACTTTTAACTGACCTGACTCCAGTGGCTTGCTGGTTAACTGATTTTGTGATGAACTGATGGCTGATAGCTTCATAACTTAATAATCCAAGAATCACCTTTTTGAGTCATTGTAGTTTTAGAACAACACTAAGAATGCAACATCTTAGGATTACATTTGACCCAATTTCATCATAATGCAAATAACATGAAAAGCACACCCAACATTCCATGACATAATTAAAAAGATAAGATACCTAACTGATAATACAACAAATCAAATGATTCCTTAAAGGACCCCAGTATGAGTGAAAATAAGACTTTTGTTGCTACTTCCCTGCTTTTATAAGCCTACAATTATAGTAGAATGGTTAACAGTGGAGTTAAATTGTCATAATACAGCTCAAATCTCTGCACACACATTTTGCAACAGTACCTCAGCCTCCTAACAGATTGCGAGATGGACCTAACAAGATGAGAAACTAACCTTGTGACATCAGTGTTCACATAATGTGCTTAAACCAGTAGACACCTACCTACCAATAAGTAAAGGCAGGCATCCCTGCCAGCAAAGATAATCTTCTATGCGGGATGTTTACAAGACATTGATGAGCTTAACTGTGTGCTTGCAAGCATCAAACTCAGGTCAGGCCATTCTGCACTGAACTATCAAGTTATTGTGTGTGCAACACTTTCAAACATAACTGCATGGCATCAGTTTTGAAATGGCACAATTCCTTGGAACTTGGCTCACTATGTGCTGAAGTTGGTGGTAACCATGCATCAAACTCTGAGCACACAGATTACCACTATACATGTAATAAAATGTTGGCTGATTGATGTCACAGGTGCTGCTGCTGCCAGTAAAATGTGCATTTTTGAAGCATAGCAGGATTACCAAGTAGTGATATGACCAACATCAACTAAAGGTGCGGCCAGATGTGGCTTTTGACAGGCATTGGTGATGTTACAGACACCTACACCATGACATAAATATCATGCCCCAATGTGAAGGAAGAAAGCCACAGTTCAACTGCTCTCATAGGTCTCCACTCTGTTACACATAGTAAATGCATCATGGATACAGAGAGCACACATTGGCATTAAGTGGCAACCAAAATGCAAGGTCCACGAGGCCACAAATAGGAAATATAACACAGAGTATCAAAGATCAACACTAACCTGCTGGTGATTACACGCTCACGCTTCTCAGACTGCACAAAGTGGTCCGACTCGAGGTGGTAGATCTGTTCAGGTCGCAGGGCAGACACCGACGATCTCAGCACAAAGGGAACTTTCACAACGCGCCACGCTCCCACGGACGAGCACCAGCAACCATCCACCGCTCCAGCACAAATGCCTCACCCGAGCGCGCCGCGCACCTCACTCCCCTGCTCCCAGTCAGCCTCTGGCTCTAAGTGCGGCGAGGCACCTTTTCCCTGTCTCTTGAACCCCCGACGGGCTAACCCAGGCGCCGCCACTGACAGCGATCACCACTCCGGAGGAGTGGACTACGAGTAAAGTAAAGCAATCTCCGCACCGCTGTGGATAAAACTTGGCGCATGCGCAAAGCGCAGATTCTACGAAGAACTGGTGTTCGGCTCTGGCTAATGCGGCTACCGATCGGAGAAAACTCCGCCCACCGCAATCACATCATGAAGCAGCACGGCTCTTGCCAAAAGTACAGCCGAAACGTATTTGCTTGAATGGTTGTAATCACATCCCATTTATGAACAACAGTTGGTATGCGGTGGTAATTCAAAATGACTTCCATTGTTGATGTGCTGAAGACCAAATGGCGCCTTTATTACGCAGTGCAAAAGTGTTCAGTAAGACCGCGCTTTGCTAGGTCACAGCAGTAGTCATCCACTACCACAGAAAGTCTGGCCACTGTATAGCTAAATAAGTGTGAGACTTCACGATTTAGAAGATTCATGTATTTCTTTGCAAAGGACGTCACCTTGAAAGCTGTTACGGCACGAACTACGAGCAACGTTGTTTCAAGGTTGGTGAAAAAGGATCCTACATGACAATCTTGGTAGAGTAACATGCAGGTTTAAAATTACAAGTCTCTGATATATTTCACGACGTAAGTGAACAAAGTTTCTTATTTTCGTGAAGTTACTTTTTTCCTGAGATGTGAATTTTATACAACGGGGCTTCAGTTGCAAAATTATGTTAATAATACGAAAATGAATAAGTTATAGGCTACGCAGCTGCCATGACTAGATGATTATGGCCAGCATAGGCACCAATTTCTCACTTCCACTTGGATCGCATGCGTTCCTTCCTCTTTCATCAAAACAATTTTTTGTTTCGAGACTGATGCCATCATACGCCAGCTTTGCAAGCCTTGTTTTGTTATGCAGCAAATTAATTTTGAATGGCGTGATTAGATCAGTCACGCTTCAGTGGTCTTGGGTCTTTGTTTGGAGTCAGGTTGGGGCACTGTGGTTCAGACCATGGTCACGTGGGTCATGTGTATCTAGACAAGATATTGACTGGTCTTCACCAAAATGCCTGTAGGGGATATCACGGACATGCCCTCATTAATGCTCTAGACATCCTGGCTGCCTGTGGTAAATACCAAAAACCAGTGTCACTAAAGGGACTTAAGCATATACGGTGCTTTGTTACCAGTGGTCATGCCACTAACATGAAAGAATGATGACGTTTTTGTCCATTTAGCGAAGATGATTTTATTGAGATCGCCCTACAACTTCCTATCTAACGCAACCGGTTGCTTGTCAGGATGGATTAAACGTTTTTTTTTTGCCTGCATTTCAGGATGTCTCCTGCTGACCCGTCATTAGGAGCTGCATGGCTGGCAGCACGTCATATGACAGAGGTAGAGAAGTGGCATGCCAATTCCAGAGTCCGTTCAAAGAACTTCAAGCCTGAAAATCATTACCACCTTCCGCCGACGGTCGCCGCTCCTCAGATGCCGCTGCTACCTCAGCATGGCGCGCCGCCGCCGCCGCCTTCCACCAACGGTCGCCGCTCCTCAGATGCCGCTGCTACCTCAGCATGGCGCGCCGCCGCCGCCGCCTTCCACTGACGGTCGCCGCTCCTCAGATGCCGCTGCCACCTCAGCATGGCGCGCCGCCGCCGCCGCCTTCTACCAACGGTCACCGCTCCTCAGATGCCGCTGCCACCTCAGCATGGCGCGCCGCCGCCGCCGCCTTCCACCAACGGTCGCCGCTCCTCAGATGCCGCTGCCACCCCAGCATGGCGCGCCGCCGCCGCCGCCTTCCACTGACGGTCGCCGCTCCTCAGATGCCGCTGCCACCTCAGCATGGCGCGCCGCCGCCGCCGCCTTCCCCTGACGGTCGCCCTCTCTCAGGTGCCGCTGCCACCTCAGCATGGCGCGCCGCCGCCGCCGCCTTCCACTGACGGTCGCCCTCTCTCAGGTGCCACCGCTGCCGCTATCAACTTCCGCCGACGAATGCAGCGGAGACCCATCTAGTTTTGTTGCCGGGCACACAGCTCAGGCGGCACCGGATCGCCGAAGCGGACCATCACCGGTTCGACGGGTGCCCCCACCTCCAGCACGCGGATACTGGGCTCGGTTGTCGCCCGCTAGGCGGCGAGTCGGGCCGACCGGCAGGTGGCGGGCCAAGCCGGTGGACTGTCGCTGCGGCCGCACACGCCGAGGCCCAGAAGCAGCGCGGTAGCTAGGCGATGCCAGTGTCGCCGTTGAGCTCCGGCTCGCTGGCGTGGCCGGCCGACACCGTTGCTCCCGCGCCGCGACAGCACCCAGCGCCGGCGCTGGGACTGGGACCGGTGGGCAGCTGTTGGGCCTCCAGCAGGCGGGCGCAGCCTGGCCAGTCGCACATGTAGGCCCACTCGGTGCTGGTCAGAGCGCAGCAGGGTCCCGCGCCACCTGTCACCACCCGGCAGCTGTGGGTGCCATATGACCAGGGTAGTCGGCGCGCTATAAAGCCCAAATCGTCATCATCACCGGGCAGCTGTTCAGTGGGCAACGGCTCTGTCGCTGCCCCATCCGTCACGACCGTATGCTGCAGACGAGCTGGCACGCGAACATCTCTACGTAATTCGACAGCTCGGCCGTGACTGAAACAAATTGCCTGCACATAAATGGTACAAGGAACTTGCAAGGAGTCGGTTGCAAAGGACTGGAGGTGATGTGCATACTCTGTGTGGGTGTGCTACATATTGCCTTGCCCGTCTAGCAGTTTTGCACATCGTTCTTTGCCTTGCACGCATGCTTTGAGCGGAGTAATGCCTTGCTTTTTCCTGGTATCCACTGCAATACCGTAAAAATTCTTAAGGAATGCACTTACTACTTCGGCGTGCCCTGAAAGCGCTGTGACGTCAGGCTGAATACGATCTCGCTCAATACCGATCGCCTAAAAGTTAATCAAACAATAACACCATCGAACATGCACTTTGAACTAGCATCCTGATGAACAACGAAGGCCGCCATTTATGGTCAGCATGTGAATTATCAAAAAACATACAGCGCCTCCCGCTGCGAACGAACGACCGTGTTCAAAAGGCTGCAAATGTTATAAAAAAGGCTTCTCGGCCTCACGTAAGTAGTTCACTCTGAAGTGTCACGGCCTCTCGAATTACTTATCACCCAACGTGACTTGATATATCGGAGGGGTCACTTGACGATACACCCTGAATCGTTGAGGTGCCATTGCTGATGTGTCCCGACAGCATGGAGTTGTCCTTAAATCGTGACAGGTCACATACCGATGCGTCCTCCCGGGATCGATAGCGATGTTTTGAACTCACAGCTCACTCTGGGATGTGCTTTGACCTCACGTGGTGCGGCTGACTGGTGCCTCCAGAGTCTGACCACGTGCGCCCTCCCCCAGAGTTTGAACCCGTGCACCCACCAACTGACACGCACTGAGTCTGACCTCATGCAGGGTTAGTGACCGCTGAATTATGACCTAAGATTGGGACCTTTGACCAATCTGTCCGAAGTCACGTGGTGTCACCGATCTCCGTTTCTTGACCTGGCGAGGTCACTGACCTGCCTGGGCGGCGGGTGTAGTCCAGCGGGGTGTTGCCGTCGTTGCCCCCAAGGTTGACGTTGGCGAACTCAAGTCCGGAAAAGTCCTCAACGCACCGACTGCTGCAGTGGTCGCACAGGTGACTCATTGTAGTCTGGTGGAAAGAGTGAGGTCGCGCTATAGACTACCGGGGGTGCACAGGTGATTCATTGCAGTCTGGTGGAAAGAGTGAGGTCGCGCTATAGACTACCAGGGATGCACAGGTGATTAATTGCAGTCTGGTGGAAAGAGTGAGGTCACGCTATAGGCTACCGGGGATGCACAGGTGACTCATTGCAGTCTGGTGGAAAGAGTGAGGTCGCGCTATAGACTACCGGGGATGCACAGGTGACCCATTGCAGTCTGGTGGAAAGAGTGGGATGGCGCTACCAGGGATGCACAGGTGATTCATTGCAGTCTGGTGGAAAGAGTGGGACCGCGCTATAGACTACCGGGGATGCACAGGTGACCCATTGCAGTCTGGTGGAAAGAGTGGGATGGCGCTATGGACTACCAGGGATGCACAGGTGATTCATTGCAGTCTGGTGGAAAGAGTGGGACCGCGCTATAGACTACCGGGGATGCACAGGTGATACACAGTGCAGTCTGGTGAGCGAGGTTCGCGCTATAGCCTACCCGGCAGTGCAGTCTGGTGGAGCGAGGTCGTATTATGGGTCGGCTTCCGTCGCCGCATAGTGTTTCGTCTCAGTTTAATTTACGACCGGTCATGAAGCCGGTCGGAACTTCATAACTCAAGGTTGAAAATAAACAAGCTGTAGTCTCGTGGTTATCCTGGCTATTGAATTGTTCTTTATTGGTCTGCATTAAAGGCTTTCGCCTTAGAGAACATCTTAAACGGTGCTCGTTGCCTGTAACTGGAGCGCACTGATCAGAAGCCCCACTCGTTTTGAAACTTTTGTCGAAATGTCCAGATTTCCGATCAACTCCTGATGCATTTCCAGAATGATTTCGAATACCACCTGAAAAAGTGCGAAGATTGGAACATCTCCCACGACCTGTGTGAAATCTTTGTTCTTTTGCAGAGAGAGTTGCGGACTGTTCAAGAAGAACTCCCATAAAGGCCCATGCTTTTTCTCCTCTGGGTATAGGTTCTTATTCAGTCAGGAGGCTCCTTCCTCCCCCCCCCCCCCCCTCCCCAAACATACCGACGTCGGCTGGACTTCGGATATATCCGCACATACCGACGTTCAGCCGACGTTCAGCGATGTCTAGCCTAGACATTTACCAACGTCCAGCCGCCATACACATTGGGCTCTCTCTCCGCTGTCAACCCGATGTTCGCCCGCTCTCCAGCCGACGTACGCCTGCTCTCCAGCCTGACGTGCCCCGCTCTCCAGCCGACGTTCGCCCGCTCTCAAGCCGACGCGCCCCGTTCTCCCAGCCGGACGTTCGCCCGGCCGACGTGCCCCGCTCTCCAGCCGACGTTCGCCCGCTCTCCAGCCGACGTGCCCCGCTC